TGGCAACAAGTGTGTATCATTATGAAGCGAATGAGCATCCCTTAGGGAGTCGATTTTTTTTTGGCGCGCGGCCGTCGAGATTTTCTCACATTTGTCAGAAAGTTCATCAAAATGGCTCCAACTTTTCGCATGAGAACCTCGAAACATTTTTTTTGAATCGAAACATAAAAATTGGGGGAATCGAGAATTCAAATGAAGGCGATACCTTTACAAAAACCAGTAGTTTGCGTAATCCATCGCTTTTCCTTAGCAAAAAAAAACGTTTAAGCAAGTCAAATGCCATAAACGGGCATTTGGGCATGCATCAATTTTTTTGGGATTATTGTTATGTTTACGAAAGACGCAGCTTAATCATGAGCAATATTTCTCAAGCATTGTATATCAATTTTCTTCTCCTTGCATTGTGGCCTTGACTCGAGCATAATTGAAATATCTAAATAGATGATATTTTGCTTATGTGAGAGAAATATTAAAAATAGGTATTCTAGAAAATACCCAAAGGTTGAAAAAAGACGATTAAGCTAAAAAAAATGTCCGTTAAAAATTGAAAACACGAATTTTGAGTACCGTTCACCGACCAGTCACATTGCAGACACAAAACACTATAATTTACGCGCGTTATATGAAATTTATTTCGAAAACATTTCTCCTCCAATAATTTGCGTCTTTTTAAATGTTGTGTGCTCACGTCATATCTCGTATTTTGTAATAAATCATAGGATAAACGTATAATTTTCATTTTAAGGTTTTATTTTCAACACGATTTCCATAAATGATTTATTTATTTGCGTCTTCAGCGGCCAGATAGAAATGTGCAACCAAACGGAATCAATCAGAAGAATATTCATGTGTTCGACCTTGTGCTGTTAAAAGATCACTAGGTTTCCATTTCCTCGATCAATTTCAGCGACAGGTTTCGAAATTGTTTCGCGAATGGCAAAACCAATTTTACTTGTTTGTTTCCGTATCGGTCGTTTTAATTGTTCATGTACCGACTTTCGCTTTCAGCCGACAGTTTATCGAGTACTCATCAATTATAGGAAGCAAGCAACGGCATGGATGCAGATCCCGTCAACGACCTTGTGTCACGCGGGGGGGGGGTGCCACCGGCAGCTTCATCTCTCCTCCCGTTGCGCAACCGCCGATGAGAATCGAAAAAAAAACCGGAAAGTGAAATGAGCGGCGACAACGATCACTTTCAATGACAAAATCTACCTTGTACCAGTTTCGTATAGACAAACCGAATTTTTTCTTCTTGGTTCGCTAGCTTTATTCGAGTTCGCCGATTCGAGCCGAATACCCGATAGATAAGAGAAGCGCGCCGATTGCATAACGTCAGGTTTTGTATCGGATATTGTATGTGGCGGCGGGAAAAAAATCGAAATCGATTTTTGGTCATGACACTTTTGTCCCATGAGATTCGATGGCGGCAAAATTGTGTAAAATGGAATTGGCGGGATATTGAGAAGGCAGGAAGTTTTTGGGGCGACGGCAGAATTAACAAGTTTTCCTCATGTGTTCGGATTGCCTGCAGATTTATTGACACTTTGAAAAACGCACTTTTCATCAAGAATTGCGCATCAATAGACCAGTTGGTGTCGATTTACGGAATAATAAATATCATTTCCTTATTTCGAAAATGCGAACTGATTCTTCTAGTATAGCCTTTTTCATTCTTAAAATGTCAATCCAGCTTAAAACGGAATTACCATCTTGAAAAATGAACTCCAAAAATATACTTAAAATTGTCCGCAGATGGATAATTCTAAAGAATCAATTTGTGCATTGGTTTTTTTCAATACCGCATAATTTCGAATCGTAATTTCTAGCCGCATCACTCATTTCCAAATAGCCTTTTGTAACACTTAACGAGGCGAGTTTTTTTTTCGAGAAAGATTCCAATCTTCAGAGATATGAGAAAATGCAACAAGTTTGATGTGTAAAATGAACATAATTCCAATTCTTCGAATCATCCAAACAAGTGTCATTATTCGCTTTCAGCCACATTATAGTAATTCGCAACTTCCTATTTCTAGAAGTGTTTCAGCCAAATCTTTTCTGGTAATTAAAATGAATGACAATGGGGGATTTGTTGAGCGGTTTTCTCCAAAACTTGAGATCTACTTGTTCATCTTTTGATTTTTTAATCATTTTTGAAAAATGCCGACCAAATTGAATTTCTAGTTCCGCCGAAATGGTAAACTCTCAACGAGGTTCAATTTCTAGGAATCCAGCTTCACCGTCAACCGTCACGCCTCATTTGGTCGGACAATCGGGATATATGCTTCACATCGTGTGTGTGTATGTATATCGGCATTGCGTGTGACCCTGAGAAAAAAAAACCGCCGATTGTCGATTACATAATAATTTGCCATCGTCTATCTTTCCCCTCTTCATCATCCTACTCTTCCCCTCCTCCACCTCCTCCGCGAAAGGAGGCTGGAGGCAGACCGGTTGGTTGCGTCCGATGGCGGCGCATTGGCATCGGCTAATATTACAAACACTAAAACCGACGACGACAACGTCGGGGGAGATGAAGCAGCAGATGATGGAGAAGCCCGTCGAGCGACCCGATTAGCGTCACATGTACGATGTTCATACAAAAGTTGTTACTTCTTACTTTGCATTCCGATGTTGCATTTGTTGCAGCTGTTCTTTGTATTACTCTCTTCCTCTCTATTTTCCTGATCCAGTTCCAGCCAGCTAAGATCCCAGAATTCCAGATTCTAGGAATCTCTCTCTCTCCCTCTCTCTGTCCCTTTCTTGAGAACCTCTCCATTTCTTTCTCTCTGAAATTCATGAGATTCTCAATTCTGACCTACAGTGTCAGTTTTATTGCGATTCAAAATTTCAGATGCCATTTTCGATTTTGACTTGGTAACAGTCTGATTGAGAGCTTTACTTATTCATGGGGATTCGTGAGATTTTCAGTTTTTTTTTTATTCATGAAGACTAGCAAAGTGAATCTCTTCTCTCCAGCACAATTTGTAAAAATACATCTGCGGACATTTGCCAACAATTCTTTTAAAAAACTGTTTCGGAGACATATGCGCTTCAAGAATCTGGAGAGATAGAACGAAATGTTCCTTTAATAATGATAATGTAGTTCTTTTAAAAATCAGAGCAGAGAAAAAAAGAAATTAAAAAATTTTTTAATCCTTTTTTTTCTTTTTTTTAAAGTTCTTTGCATTGCCTCATTAATTAAATTCACAGGTCCCAAGTTTTTTTTTTCGAATTTAAATCGAAATTTAGGCGGCTTTCGGCACCTGGTAGATTTACGGGGTGCGCCTTTAGCTATGGTCTCACGCGGAACAACTGATTATTTTGAGTTTTAGGTGTCTGCTTATATATCTAATTGAAATGTTGTTAGAAATTCAAAGAAATACTAAACTAAACAAGACGAAATAAATATTTCACGTGAAAACAACGGAATAAAGTTTCACGCGTGGCGAGACCATTCGGAAAGGCGCACTCCCCGTAAATCTACACGCTTACAGCAGGCGCCTCACACCGACTCTACCAGATTTTAAATATATATATATATATCGCAACACTATTTTCTTGTCTGAAAATCGATGGTAGATCAAAACTGGAAACTGAGACAAGGTCAAACCGCATGTTCCTTTAAACGAGGTTTCACTTGTTCTTGAATGCTTAAATTGTAGCAACGAATAGTTAAGTACACCGTCGATTAGAATTGGCCCACTCAAGTGTTTCAGTTTCACTTTCAGCTTAAACCACATCTCTGAAATTGATGAGATTGCCAATTTCTAAATCGTCCACCCCAACCATTCCAATTGGTTTCGGAGAATATTTTTTTGCTTCGATTTGTTATTTTTTTTGCTGTCGAGGACCCGAAAGCCGATATCTTGCCATCAATGGTGGTGTGTGCCGCCCGTTTTTCTTGAAGTGCGCAATATATACATATGTGTGTGTGTGTTTGCGTCTTTCACCCAGTTTATCCAGTTTTCGAAACGCTAAAGGCGTTTTTCTCGAATTTGTTGCCGCGTTTTGTAATTGCGCAATAATGGTGTGATAACCCGAAAAAAAATCAAATTACAAATAAAAATGCAGATCGGAATATTTCAAATTGGCGCCAAAAAATTGATCAGATCAATGTTTGGAGCCCACAATGACAACTACTTGAAATGGGGGGTTAACGTGTTTGTTTAAAGCGAGAGCCGCCAAAAAAAAGTGTTGCGCACTGCAGGGAAGATCAAAGAGCGCGGGAAGATTGGAAATTTAAATTTGGTAGGACAAATTTTGATTGGGAGTTTAATCGTCTTCATTTGCCACGGAAATGTCCAGAAATTCACAACACTCTCGAAATTTATTAATTTTTTCTTGTCTGTGGTCTTGCAAAGAAGACAATGCTAATGGTGGAAGGGTCTTCCATACGAGACCCAACGTTTGTGAGCTTGCAGCTTCTAATCACTTCAAATTCCAAGCAAGTGTGTTTAATATTCTCCAAAACGCTTTCTTTTTCCAATATGAATCAGACGACCTTGATTTTGAAGCTGATCCAACAGTGTGTATGAAGCTGAAACCAGCGGATGAGTAAAGCTTTCAACCAGACCGTTATAAAGCCAAGGTCGAAAATGGCATATAAATGTCACGTTTTCTTGCGATCGCAATAAAAAAATGTTTCAATTCTCATCATGCTCGACTCATTTTCGCCTGTTTGCATTATGAATTAGCGCAATTTCAGGACATGATCTTCAATGCCATTGTTGTTTTTTCGGCGCCCGCCCGCCCCTGGCCCCCACAATAGCTCCTATTATATATTATGTCACTTGGTTGCTCCAGCACTTCTCACCATTATTGACATTTCCACTTTGGCTCCACTGTCGGAACTCATCCTCATAGCGTCCTTGTTTTCTTGTGTGTTGTCAGAGTGCTGGATGCCCGTATTTATCCATTCATCCATCCATTCTTCCTTCCTCATTTTATTTCTTCCTATCAAACCTCAAATTGGCTTATTTAATTTTTTTTCAGAATCCATGCTTTTGCCATGGTTTCCACTAATCGCCTCGTTTCTGGGCGTCGTCTTGGGACACCTTGAGGGGATTGTCATCTCTGATAGTCTCGACGCGCTCAATGAGCAAGATTTTGAGACCGCTGATAAATTGACGCGAGGTTCGTAATGACCCCCTGAATTTATTTGATTCTATGCGAATTTTTTTCGGACAATATTTTTCAGAAAAATGTGAATTCGTGTAATTTTCAGTAGTTTCAGTTAACTCAAAAATCGCATATCCTTATTTTTTATCACATTCAACCGTTTCTCTACAACGGCCAGGCGCCGAAAATAATATTTGCTTTTCAAAAAATGAAAAAAAATTCCAAATCAAACTTGTGTGCATATTGTCGTGAGGATGTATTGCGGAGTTTTGAACAAATTGCATTCGGTTCTTCAAAATTTTCATTTTTATGTTTTTTTTCTTTTTAAAAGATATTATAAATGTATAAAAATGTAAGTTTTTATTGACGTACTAAAAGAAAAGCTTGAATTTTGAAAATTTGCTATTTTTTGCAACAAACAAAAAAGTTTTTTTTTCGATTTGATTATTTTTCAATGAATGCTCATAACGAAGTACCTGAATTTGGCTGCTGCCCGCAAATTATATCTTTATACATAATTTAATTCGAATTTTCAGAGGATTTATTTGGGAAACACATACCCGTCGAGGTTGTCAATGATTACAAATCGGACATCCGCTTCCCGCGCCGCCAAAAGGTAATCCAATGGCTCATCGTAACCATTCCTATTGTTCTAGAATTTAGAGAAACGGAGTGTCTCGCGCCGCGAAACTCTGGCCAGGTGCTCGTATACCGTATGCAATTTCGCCGCACTATTCGCCGCATGAGCGAGCTCTTCTCGCAAAAGCTGTAAAACAGGTTTCGAACATTCTTTTAATTGCAATTTGAGCTAACTTCAATTAATAATTGCAGTATCATGAGAAAACATGCATTCGATTTGTACCAAGGAGATCAGGAGAACCTGATTATTTGTTTATAGGAAAAGTTGATGGGTATGCATTTTTTTGCTTGATATCAAATAATTATTTTGCAAAAAAAGAGTCCCAAGAGCCGGAAACTGTCAGCAGAACTTAATAATGATAATCTTACATTTTTATTTTAAAAATAAGGGACCCTGGTCCTGAACCCTGCCCTTATAGGGCTCAATTCGTTAATATGATGGTCCCTGCTTGTGCTAGTGCGATCCTTAATTTTAAAAGTTTTTTTTCTCAAAATCAAAAATTGACATTTTTGTTATTCTGCCAAGTTATGCAAATTGTTCTATGTCTACCTTTTCTGAAATTTTTACATAGCTTTTATTTTTGCACTTAAAAAACCCGATTAGCTCATTCGAAGTTAGACAAACTCGATTTCTCTCTGTGATTCTTATTTTGGTTTCAGTTGCTTCTCGGAAGTCGGCCGAACCTCGGGCGTTCAAGTGCTTTCACTGGACAATGGGTGCATGGAATATGCGACGATTATTCACGAAATGATGCATGTTGTTGGGTTTTACCACGAACACGGTACTTTTGAAGCGTTTTGCCCAAAAAAAAAGACAAGGACAATCTAAATTTGTTGTGTCAATTTTCAGAACGATGGGATCGCGACAATTTTATCGACATCATTTGGCAGAACATTGATCGGGGTAGGAATCAATAAGCTCCAAATTAATTCGCTTCGTTTCAGCCGCTCTTGACCAATTTGGTAAAGTTGATTTGTCGAAAACGTCCTATTATGGACAACCATACGATTATAAATCGATTTTACACTATGATAGTTTGGCGTTCTCCAAAAATGGATTTCCAACAATGTTGCCTAAGGCGAAATGTAGGAATTTGAAGGGATTCGCAAAAAAAAAACGCTTAAAAATTTCAGCGGCAACGATCGGAAATGCGAGAGATTTCAGCGAAGTCGACATTGCAAAAATCAACAGAATGTATAATTGTCCAGTCGAGAAAAGTGTAACGGCGCCATTCGCTCGGGCTAGAGTAGCATTTTATTTAAAATTATTATCTCATTGTTGTTTTCATAAAATTGATATTTCAGCATGTTCCAATTTATTCGCCACCACATTATAAATATGACGATCGGCCGAAAATCCCGATTCATTCATACGATGGACATCACGAGGAGACTTTTCAGCCACCACAGCCGCCAGCAATGGTTATTTCAAGTAGCTCTGGTGGAAATCCGAGAGTCAATTTTAATTCCAACAAACCTTCTAGTTAGTTTTTTTCCTTTTCTCAAAATTATATAATTAAAGTATGTAAAAAAAGAGAATATAGGATGCTAAAAAATCTTTCGGATCTATAAACGATATATTTATAGTCGGTGTCCGGCAACTGCTGTACGCGAATAGATTTATGCTATGCGCTTTTCGAAATAATCTTAAGTATATCATTTACTTGAATATTCCTTAATATCAAATTATTCATTTTATTTATGTGGTCATCGAATATGCGGATTTTGGGAAAAAAATTCAAACAAATAGAAAACTATCAAAAAACTCGAAAAACCCTATTCAGATTGCGCAAAAAAAATACTTTTTTTGAGTTTTTAAAGAAATCTGTTTTTTTTTTTATATACCATAAGTTATCGTTTACAATTTTGATTTTGCAATGTTAAAGTTAAATATTTAATTACTGAAATTTTTGGGGAATTTGCGAAATCGGCAATATGCTTAAGAAAAATAAAAGGAACTCTATAAATACGGAATATTTTTTGGAATGCCATTATCAAAAAAAAACTTCTTATAACAGTTTATAAATGATAATTTTAAATTGTATATAATAAATTAAAATGCTTATTTCCATATTCGTGTTTTGACTGTACCCAATTTATGTATATTTTTCAGAATGTGAAGATCGTATCACGGTGTGCTGGTGGACAGCGGATCGATGCCGCTCGCCAGCAATCTACCAGGTCATGTCGTCGCTGTGCCCCAAAACCTGCCAATTCTGCTAAATGCGCATACCGCGTTTATTCCAACATGATCTCACAGCCATTTCAAGGTCCCATCAATTCATCTGGCCACCATCACGGGTTCCTCAGCTGCTTTCAATTCGAAACACTTTCAGTTAGGCGTTTGAATAAACTTTATCACATCGATGCATATTTTCAAAACCCGAACGAAAACAATTACAATTCTTGTCCAAACATTAGGAAAAATTTAGTGTCTCCGAAGCGACAATGGACCTGTCTAAATCGTAGACTACAATCGGGTCCGTAGAACATTATATCATCGGCTTTTTCGACCACAGCGTTGATTATATTCTCGGTTTTTGTGAGCTTGAAACAGCACATGTCGAACAGAATGTGAACGGTTTCAATATCATCGGTTTGCTGGAAAAAAATGAATCAGAAATTTGTCTGCGAATGGAATTCTATATGTAGTTACCTCATAAATACTCTCATTGTCTTTAAGGGATGGATGAGGGTGTGGTTTCGAAACTCGCGCAATGAACTCCACAAAATCTTCTGGTTTGAAATACACCGATGCCATATAGATTTCCAATCGCTGTAATCGACGAGTATCGATTTCCTAAACAATTTTCCAATTCCTCATTTTGATCTACAATACTATCCAAATAATACCTGATTCGCTGCTATCGATTGCAACGTTTTTTCATTGAAAACGAGACGATCTTTATCTTCGACGTTGAATTCCTCGAATCTCGTCAGTCGACAATAACGAAGGTTTCGGATTCGGTCGAAGATTTGCGTGCAGTCGACGGTATCGGTGTTCATGAAACTGTAGGAGAGGCGTGTGAGGTTTGGGAACAGACGAAGCGGTTTGATCGGGTCGACGATTTGTTCGATGGCGATTGTGGCTTCTAGCTGAAACATTTTTGAGTTAAGGAAACCCATATATAAAAATAGTATTACGGAATTAGAAAAAAACGTCCTAAAATCGTTTTTTTCTGTGATATTTGCGTCGCGATGTTTGCACACATTTTCGCGGCGCATCTATTTACAGTAATTTTCTTTTAAAAAATGAGGAAACCATAATTATTCAATGTCGCCAGATGCGTTGCGGTTCGCGTGCGCTCCATTTAGTTTTGTTTTCAAAATTCTTTATATTACTATTGCAACAAAATGCTCGTTTTGTATAATTGTGGACCACACGATTTCGAGGCGGTAATTCAAATTTGAACTTAATTAGTGGAAAATTGGGCAACGTATTACGTATAGTTTGGATACTCATCGTAAATCTTCTTAGGGTGCTCGTTTTTTATATAAACGTGAATCGCAACATGCTTGAGTTACAAGGTCTCGCAGCGAAAAATTTTGGTAGGCTCTTTTTTTTGGAAATCGCACTATATTTTTTTCTATTTTTTTAAGGGGTCTTACGAAAATTTGGGCACACTACATCTTTTAATATTTGAAACAGAGTTATCAAAAAACAAGGCGAATGTCCGCAGATAGATTTTTCGAAATGCGCCACAATCTTGTGTAGAATGAAATTTTACTTGTTTCGATTTGAAAAGCAGCACCCTCAATCCTGATTATTTTTCATTCCAATGCGCCTTTGACGAAAACTGTAGTTTTTCGAAATTCATGCAAAAATCGCAGCAAGATCAAAAAAACGTATGCAAATTTTCATGTGACCTTTGGAAATTTTGCATTTTTGACCAAAATTCGGTTTTTTTGTTTTTTTTTTTTTCAAAAAAAAAATCGAATATTTGAACCTCTTGCACGCTGCTGCACCATTCTTTCACAAGACCATCGAAAAATTTGTCGAACACATTTTTCGACGTTTGATAATGCACGAACAAGTTGAGAGTTTTCGATGGCTCAATATTCTGAAGCATTCTCAGAAGCGTGATTTCATTCCAATCCTGTAGACAATACGACTTTCGTCCTGCTTTCAATTCAAATTCATCGTTGGTCAATTCAAACGTAATCGTTCCATATTTGAACTTCCTGAAACGATCGTCTGATTTTGGTTTTTGAAAAAAAAAACAAACAACGAGAAGCAAAAATATTTAGCAATACCTTGTCAATTTGGTCATCCGAAGAATTTCACGATTCCATGATGTGCAAACCTCGCGACATCTGATCAATGTGCAAGGATCGACGTTTTTCAGAATCTCGCGTATCACATAAATGTCGAATTTGTTCGACATTGCTTTTTAATTCTGAAATTTAAATTCGGCATTTTTATTTTTGAGGCAAAAAAAGATGGGAATTGAGAGAAATGATGGACGATTTTGGCGAAAATGAATAATTCATTGAAGCGAAATAATTGAACAAGGTTTATCATGGAAAATATGGGTTTCGACGAATTCTCGAATTGTCCGCAGATGAAAAAAAATAAAAGGAAAAAGAACGTAATTTCTTTTCTGCAATAGGCGTTGAACCTTCAAAAAACGATAATAAAAGAGTAATTGATAATGAAAAATCGACTCTTTTTTTTTAGTATTATTGAAGAATAGAGGGAAAACGGCCACCTACGCTCACAAAACACTTATCATTTTGTTGCAAAACTCGAGAACAAATAATTGGGACGCTTTTGAATAAATGATTTTAGGATTGTGTCGAACACCCGCAAATACAACCTCCTCCCACCCATCAAACACTTTCAATTTTGCCGCGGGAGAGATAAACTTCGGGATAAATACAACACGAGGCGGGTGGTGCTGCTGCATGAAGCGAAAAACGAAGCCGACGAACAGTGGGAGGGAGTGAGATCGGATATTTGAGTCGAGTCGAGTTGGAGTAGGCGGGGTGCAAATCGGCTAAAAAGTTGGCAAATAATAACAAAAACCCCTCTGAGACAAAACGAGGGCCGAATGAGCGAGATCGGCAGAGAGGAAGCGAGACAGACTAATGGCGGGGGGGGGGAGCCGCTTTGACAGGTTATCGCCGCACCGGATCCAAACACTTTCCTGATATCAAATCGATTACAAATATTCAACCGAAATTATTCTTCTTGATTGGTTTTTCGAAAAAAGCTTGAATTCTCCATTTTTTTTTACAATTTACTGTTTCACAAATATTTAAAACTCGACAAAGAATTTCCACATTTCCGACCGAAACAAACCATTTTCCAATCTTCTCGAGTTTTGGGTCTCGTTTGGAAAAAGAGTTGACCCATCAAACTCCTAATTCTTCATGTTTGATGAAGAAGAAACACAAAAACACTTATTGAGAAATCCGTATATTTTTTGCCGAAAAATCTGATACTCGAGAATGAAAAATTAATGCGCCATATTTGGTCAACATTGGGATTATTTGAGAGAAAAGAAAAAACAAAAATAATTTAATTTTTATGTGCACAAATACATATTAAGCAAGAAAAAAAATGACGACTAAAAAAATAAACCTTTAAAAGAACCCAACATTGCGTAAAACGTGTGTGTGTGCGTCGGCTAGAACGACTGCGATTCATGCCTTCTCATCCCAGCCAACACACAGCTGACATTACAACTCAAGAAACATCGCAGACGAACGCGCTGTAATGATCTACCGATTTGAATATTAATCATATTACACATACATTATTAATTATTAGAATAGTATTCAAATAATTTAAGGAACCGTCCGTGGGAAGAAGCTAAAAAAAACAATTAGAAGGTGATGGTGAAGCGCAATGAAACGAAGCCGTGTTCAAACAATGGGTTTTTGCGGCTTTTTATTTGGGACCGATGAAAAATGGGTGGCGACGACGAAACAAAAATATAGAAAAAAAAAGAAGAACAAGAAGAATCAAACGAAATATATGACTCAAATGACAACACGAAGGGGGGACGAGAAAAAAATGGAAAAGAAAAAGAAGGAGAACCTTCGATTAGAAATGATTATGAGGCGCCGATTGATGAGATTCGGAACACACGATAAATGCTTAAAATGTGATGAAGAATAAGACGAAAACTAACATCAAGTTTGGTTTTTTTTTCTTCCAATTCTTCTTATGAAATCAAGGTTGGAGCACCCGCATTGGTTTCCTCTTTTCCGGTTGGATGATTTTCTTCTCACTAAATATGAACAAACGAGTAACCGACAGTGAATGTGATAAATTAATGATGAATGATGATAATACTTCTGCTGCTGTTGTGATCCGGACGAATCGGGTTTCCTATGTTTCGCTTATGCGAGGGCGTTTCGCCGGTATCTCTGTAATAGGTAAAAATTAATCATTTCGCTTGTTATGGGTCAGGTTTTCCCTAATGAATTTTGATCATTTCACATTGAATGGGATGAGGAATTGACTGATGGTTTTTGTATAGAATTATGGGTGTGCGCCTTTAAACTTTCACAAGAAAGAATTTTTTGCGATTTCCAGAATTTTGAGAATATTTTTGTTTTCAAAATTTTGAGAATTTCGATTTCCAGAATTTTAAGAAACCAAAAATCCGCTTTTGAGGAAAACATCATGATGATCCAGTCTTAGGCAATTTTTTCTCGACTTTTGAAAATTCGTATCATTAAATTTTCCTAATAAGTGATTTAATCCACAGTAGCTAGTAGCTAGAAAAAAAAACGGAAAAAGTAAAAGAGCAATCAATATTCTGTTAAAGCACAATAATTTTCACAATTTCAAATTTTTCAAAACAAGTTTAAAAGCGCGTATCATTATTTTCTTTAAAACACAAATAAAGCATTACAGAAAAAAAAAGAAAAGGTCAATTTTCATATTTTTCGGCATCACATGAAGTATCTTTTCTTATTGCTTTTATAGGAAAAAAACACTGATATTCTTTTAATATTGAAAACCCTCTTTCCGTTAATGCGATTTTCCGAAAATAAATTATATCATATTCGCTAAAAAAACGTTGAGTCGACCCGGAATTAAATTTTCGTTTTTTTTTCTTTTAAACATTGATTTTACGAGAATTTTATGATTTAATATATCATGCTTCATCAAAAATCGCAAAAAACGTGCTTATTTTCAATCAAAAATTCTTCCGCCATTCGTTATTCATCATATTTCATTTTAAGACAAAGCGCGGAAAAGAACATCAACAAAAAATGTTGACGTTTCTTCGATTTTTAGTGTTTTATTATGTGTCATTTTAATGAAAAAGGCAGCGTACCGTCATCGGGAAGCTCCAACGGCAACGCCTGTTTGGAAAATGTGCTGCTGAGATAAACAAAAGCCTCGACGAACAGATCGAGACGCTGATTGAGCAATTGGCTGAATCCATCGGACTGAAATCGTTGGATAATTAATGATTTCTTTTGGGCGTTTCTTGAATACCTGCGCGATCTCCCAACCATTTCGGGCAAGAAATTTAAGGCAGTGTTTGCGAAGATCGCTCGCATTGTATAAATCGGCGCACATAATGAATCGGCAAACCGTTTCTTTCGACACATTATCGCGAAGGTGCTGCAAAACAACGAAGCAATTTTTTGAGATCGCAGAGATTTTAATGATTTCAAGAAATTTCAGAATAAAACGCACCTTTTCGGTGGTCTCTTTGAGACCGGGAAGCTCGAATCGATCAGCTGCAGCCAACAATTCCACCGGTTTGTTTATTGGTTGTTTCACATTTCCAGTATACATATAATACAAGAGATCCTTCATAACCTACAATCAATTCGCATTCGCATTAAAAAAGAATAGTCCAAGACGACATTCTTACTTCAGAATCAACATCGATAATCGTCACCTCGCTCTTCTGAAATTCTTCGGTATGTGGTTCAAGCATCGCAGCGAAGACCTTCGATCGAGCGCAAAGGATCACCTGAAACAAATCGGGTTAATTTATTGGATCGTTATCAGCATCAGGTTTCGAGAAACAAATCATATTGTTATCAACGCGCTGATAAACGATGTTCGCGTCGGAAACCAAAACTTAAATGAAACGACCGGGAACAATCTGAAGTGTCACAATAACCCGTCTCACCTTGTGCGCTTTGAGTTTTTCGGTTCCGACATTAATCGTGAAATCGTAGCACTTCTCGCTTTTGAATACACTTTCGAGATCTTGCACAAGCATGTTGGGTTTTGGCGACGGTAATGATAGAGGTGTTCCGCGTGATGATGTCCTGAATATTATTAATTGGTCAATTGACTTGGGCTTGAGTGTACTTGGTGACGGTGTCAAACGAGACAGTAATTGTTAACAGCAAATGAATAACGCTGTCCTCGCCAAGATGCGCCAATAACGCTTCTCGTCTGATGTATTCGAAATAGCCATGAAGCTTCAAACATAGACGATGATTTGCATTATCTCGTCAATTCAAAAAATTTACCTGCTGTGTGCCGGAGTAAACCGTCGTGTGCACCTCTTCGCCTTTACCATTGTACACCGTAAATTTAAATTTCGCTCGAAATGGTGTCGGTGGCGCCGCTGCCGCAGCGGCCGCCGATGAGCTTGAATTATTGAAGCATTGGAAGAAGGTGAAGTCCTTATTCGAATCTTTGTTCCCTTGTGGATGAAGGCGAATCCTATACTGAAGGTTTTGAAGCTCCGGAAGTGTTGATGAATGTGACGCTACTTTCTGAAAAAAAATGCTATAGAAATCTTAGATCTCCAATTTAAAACTAATTAAGATTAGCAATTTTATCAATCAAAAATATTATTGCATGTCGCCCTTTTTATTTCGATAGAGAAAGATTATAGGACGACGTGAATAAGACGATTGCGAAACACACAGAAATTCAAAACTCACATCCTCATTTAGTTTGGCCACTGTTTCCAAGTATCGACAGTCGCATGATTTGAATCCATTGATAATCCATAAATGTGTGTGTGTTGTTGTCCGAACATCGGTGATTGAATATGTGTCTGTGTCCAAATAGCTCTGCATGTTCGATTCCTGAAAACAATTAAATGATGTTGATGCAGAAATTCGAGCGATGAATCACGAGTGGCGAAACTTCAACACAAAAAATATCAAAGCGATAAGAAATTTTGGAAAATGAGGTGTGTCAGCGTGTTTGCGACAAAATCAATTTTTTGAGCAAATACATATATTGAGGCTCTCGATAGTGTAAAAAAATGCAATGCAACGAAGATCGTTTGATTTCTGTTGTGACGGAAAAACATTCCTTCTCTTCTGCCCCGTATTTTTTTCCATAAAAAAACAATGAGTCGAAAATATTTTTGACACTGAAATGTGGATAAACATAATGTTTTCGCAAATTTTTCACACTTATTTTTGTACTTTTTCTATTTGTTTTTCACTTGATGCATCGCTAATGCAAAACAACCATTCTTAAAATTAGGAAAATATACAAAATGCGAAAATTGAGAAAAAAGTTTAGTTTAGAAATGCCTCGCGCCGCACACGTTCTCGACAAACGCACGTCTACCATTTAAAATGTTGTGTGAATTGTAAACACAAAGTGTCTCTCCAAAATTTCGCTTTAAAATCTATAGAATTGTGGAGAAAATGAAAAAAAAATCGTTGAGTCTGCAATTTAGCGTGCGCGTGCACCTCACAACCATCATATATTACAGTAGCGAATGACGACTAAAACACGTCTAAAACTATTCGTTTTCAACAGCGAATGGGAAGATAATGGGAAGTGTAAGGAGATGCGAAGAAAATGGACAAAATGGAAGACAAAAATTTTTTGGAAGAAGAGAACGAGGCGTTTTCAAATGTTCATGTCGTGCCAGTGTATGTATGTGTGTGTGTGTGTGTGTGAGTGAGTGAGCGAGTGTCGTGTGCGCGCGCGACAAAGTGCTACGGATCTTGAGGTCAGAGAGGCGAATCGGTTAGAGAATGAGAGTGGGCAAAAAAAGTCGCACGCAATTTGCCGCTGAATCGGTCCGATTTTTTGGACCCGCTGATTTGTCAAACGCCAAAATGATCGGAATTGCGAGTGCTGTTGGACCATTGAAGCGAACGCGTCAACACTGAATCGCAATTTTTTTTTGGTTGGGCACCGACAAATATTTTTGTTTTTGTACGCCCGCTCACTAAACTGCTGCTACTAATACTACTATTGCTACTGAAAGTCGGAAAACATGCGTGCGCACATGTTTGGACATCGATTCGCCAAGATCTCAACAGCCATCCTCGAAAAACAAAGAATCAAAACACGAAGCTAAATCCAATTTGACGGACAGCAATATTGAGGGAGTCAAATGAAATCCATCTGCGGACAATTTGCCGGCAACATGTCCGCAGATGTTTCTAGATGAAATCCAAAGAAGGACACTGGTTGAGCGGCGAATGCGACAGTCGCTGGAAATCAATAAAAATTGGCCATAAATAAGACGAAGAAAAAAAACAATTCGTGACGTCAACTTCCAATTTGTTTGTGTTTTCAAACATATTTGACGCGTAGATAATTTCACCTTTGGATTACTGTAGTTTCGTCGCAAGACCCATTAAATGATACAATTGAAATCGATTTATTTCTCGAGACCCGCCCAGAATAACTGATATAAAGAGAATCCCAATAAGTGATGGCAAATGAGGAATGGATTGAAATAATGCGCTTATGTTTGGGTACAAAATTCTTTGAAATTCGCATTCCGAAAAAAAGAGAGTATAAAAATCTAGCTGCGGACAATTTCATGGGTGTTTCTCGACCAAGGAACACAACAAATAAAAAATGAGCGGGATGGACGACGAGCCGCCCACGCCCATAATATCAATAATACAAAAAAAAACGAAAAATGAGATATCCTAATAGGCACCAAAAGAAAGGTGTCGAAAGGACATCTTCCGTTCGGGACCAACGTCAGTATTTCTTGGTGCGAGCCTCCCTCCTAAAAAGCCGCTAACTGATAACACTGGCCCGCATTCGGAATATGGTCTCCTCTTCTTCTATTTCCATCGACGAGAGATCGAAAAGTGAAACCGCGCGAGATAGCACGCGGCGCTGAAGAGACGCCGACGTCGCGGCGCGACTGAAGATCGAATATTGTTAGAGGGCAATTGAACGAATAATCATGATCAAATTGTTATCAATTAACATATGATTTCGAATGCGAGCGATTTTTGCGGCGGCTGGCGAAACGGACGGCCAGACTAAGCGGAAGCAGCAGCGGGCATCAGCTGATTGAAACACATTACACCTGGTCAAAACTAAAGGCGCCTTTAGTTCCTCTTTTTTTCTAATCTAATAATTTAGAATTAGACTAATAAACAATTCGAATTTATGAATAAATAAGTGTGACTCATAATGCTATTTTGAGTCATTTTAATGAGCCACCCACCAAATTTGCGATTGGTCTCGACCGCAAATTTATTTTCACAAAAAAATCTCAGGTATATCATTTTGAATGATTCAAGAAAAAAAAAATAAAAATTGTTGAAATGTTTTGGCCGTAGACACACACACGTAAACTTGCACACATTTTTTTTCAAAAAAAATTTCCACTTTCAAAATTTCTTTTTCAAATCATGATTAGCTGAACGTATTCAGCTAAAACGAGGGCACTTGTGGAATGGGAGTGTCGTTGTGAGATTCGCACAAAAAAAAAACAAGCGACAAGAAAATATTGACAACGGAGATTTTCTGTGCAAAAACAACGCATTTGCATGTAATTGTGTCTATAAAAAAATTTTTTTCGAAAAACATAAAGTCCGGTGGCACTTTTCCGTTGCATTTGGTGTTTCAGGAAAACACTGAGTCGTTCGGCAATAAGTATCCTCTCTCTCTTCTTCTTCTTCTTCTTTTTTTCGCCGATAACATTATACTGCAATTCAGCGATTAATGTGTTTTTCGTTGGTTGCTACCGGTTCTCATAAATGCCAGAAAAAATCCATATGAGAAATAGTAATTAATACAGAGAAGAAATGAGAGAATTTTCAACCAAAAAAAAAAGATTTGAGGACTGAAATGAAAATTTTCGTCTATATGGTGACCGTGAAGAGGTCATTTCTGAAGGTTTGAAACCAAAAATTGATAAGATTACTGGTTGGTCCCATCACGACCATTATTACAGTAATCGAAGTGGAAGCCCAATTCAGTGGAGAACCGCTATTTGATCTCATTTCAAATATCTGTTCTCATCCGATGACGTGAAACGCAAAACGCATTTCTGATTATAGTGTGCAACAGCAAAAGTCACGCAAATATCCGCAAGTTTGAAACCTGCCAAAATATTTGTGTAGATTTACGAGCATCCGCCTTTAATGTGGGTCACGTGTGGATTTTTGTGACTATTATTCGGGTTTCTCCGATCAGAAGATGAAAACGAAAACACTAAAGACTTGAGAGAAAATCAAGAAGTGCACGTTTCTGATCAAATTATACGATTGATAAAATTTTTTGAACAAAATTCGACGGGTTTAAGGAAAAGCTTAGCGATGATGCTTTCAAAGAAGAAAAAAAATAAGGCGTCAATAAAAAACAAAATCAGCTCAAGATTCTGGATTGGATTGAATGCTTCTTAGTCAGCACTAAATAACAACAACAACGCCAACAAATTTCGCGACTTGTTTTGCCTGCGACGAATTTCGACAATTTTAATAAAACAAAATCATGGAAGAAGAAGAAGACGTAAAAAAAACAATTCGAACACGGCCGCCAAAAACAACAAGCCACACACCAATTCATCGTCGTTTTCTCCACACAACGTCGTTACCAAACAAGTTTTGAATGGCTTCTCGTGAAAATGGAAAGCAAGATGGGAAGAACACACTGCTTTTAACAACTATATAATAGATTTATGAGACAAACAAAATATATATATATATGATGGCAGATAGTATTTCGAAAAGAATTCCGGTGAAACTCTGCACGGTTTTTGAACTCTGAATATTTTTCCCAAATTCCTGGGGAGTATTGCTCCATCTATATATATAAATTCCACATTGAAAAAAAAAACAACATGATAAAATGGATGAGGAGTAGTAGGGCATACGAAAACATGTTTTTGTATTAGAGGGAAAACTATTCAGAAGCCAGTTGAAAAACAATCAGGAGCCTCCTAATTCCAAACAATTACTCCCTATTTTCGTGTCTCGCCACGAAAAAAAAAACATAAACAATCGATGCTCCATTTTATTTATTATTATTATTATTATTGCTTATATTGGGCTCAATTGTTGTTGTTGTTGTTGTAATCCGGCAAAAATTCGAGTTTTCCGAGAGGGCATGACGGTAACAACGAGAATTGCGTCAAAAAGTGTTCGCTGGCGCTTTTGCGGTGATCGCGTTTTTTTTTTCTTCAAAAAACTTGCCATATGCATCAATTCTTGGAAATATTCGATCAATCCGAAAATGGAAACTAATAAAAATGTCAAGTAGTATTTGGTGCAGCTGCCCCAAAAAGTGCGCCAATGCTATTATGGTCAACAACGCGGCGCAAAAGACGGGACGACGGCGAAAAACAAACACGAAGGGTATGTGCACCACAATTGCGTTAAAATTTTTGGGATCTCGAGTGTCGGTCTCGACCGGCTCACCTATGATAATAATATTTTAATAGTAATGAAAAATAGTAATAATCCAACGACACTACAAACTGCGAATAATATAAATATTTTTGTTTTCCGGCGTCGCCAGTTGTGGGCCTTCCCAATACAACCAACCAACCAGCAAACACTCGACACAAAAACATTTATTCTTTATGTTCTTCAAAAAAACATTTTTCAAATTTCGTTCCGAGTCCCATTTTGTGATACGGGCATCAAGAAACCTGGAAAGCACGTAAGGATAATGGAGTAAAAGAAAGAAAATCACGAAGAGCCATCTTATAGAAAATAATCTGTGTATATGTATATCAATATATTAAAAGAAACTTGAAATGGATAATATGAAACTGGAAATTCTGTTTCTTTGAGAAATTTCTTGTCATAAATAACAAAATCGTTTCAGCGAATAACAGTTGATTTGAGGGAAAAGGTCGCCGCCATAATTGCACTAATGAGAAGCGGGGCGAAGCTTCAAAGGGCAGTCTGTGTCGACTAGAGGCAATCGTGTGACTCGAATGGAAACAAAACACAACAAATGTGGACTTTTGTTGAACCGCATTCTCACATCAAAAATCATTGCGGCGGCCATTTTCAGGAAAAAAGAAAGATGTTGGCACAATTTGAAATTGATTTAAAGCGGAACAATGTGCTCTCATGTTGTTTTGTTGGTGTGCAAAAGAAAAAAGCTGGCAACCTTTGGTTTATAAAATGGCTCTTTTTAAAGATTCGCCGAAGCCGAAAAATGTTCAGCTGCGCAGCGACGAGTATTGGTTCATATTTCGTGCAAAATGCATGTTTTAATGCGGAATTGTTTGGGTGGGAATGAGCAATGGAGGAAAGGAGAACGGGAGAAGCCTCGCGTCGAGGTGACACGCCTTCGTGCATTATTCGAAAACAAGCACTAAATCTGCACAATTGGATTTTTTGTCTTACATCCTCTTTTGGAAATTATTGGAATTGAAATGGAAATTGAAACACACTGAAGATGGCTATTGCGCGATTGTGCCAGAAAAAACCAATGCCAATGATATTGGCGAAAACTAAAGATGTCGATTTACGCGCCTAATAAAGGTGCACACCGAGCATTATGACCTTGTTGGAATTTAGCAAATTTTGCGCATTTGTCGACGATATTATCCTACAATAATTATGTGCTCAATTATGCAATATAGTGTTTAGGGTGAATATAAATCGGCATAGTTTTTCGATGAAAAGTGCACAATGAGTTCCAACAAGAGCATATTCTCTTGGTGCTCGATTAACTAAAATTTTTGTTGTGTCGAAACACCCAATTAATCGGGAATGCTTTGTGCTTTTGTTAAATGTGAAATGATCGAATGAAGGGATGTGGAAACGACTTGACGTGTGTTCCATCAAAGTCTGAAGAAAATATGCATCAATTGCGGAATTCGGGAGATTTGTGGCGGCCAAATGCCATTTAATGTCTGGTCTCGAAACATTCGAATATATGTTTCATACCACTCAAATATTATTTAATCAAACCAAGTGTTTTCAGAATTTCTTTTTACCATTCGCAAAATTATATGTGACATGTGCAATTTCGATAGCGTTTTGCAGATTTGACATATAATCATTATATATATTATAATATTATTACATTATATATATTTAAAAAAAAATGATATATTGATAAAATAACTGATTTTGAAAACACAAAAAATATTTCATTCATCCGGACGCATTCGACCTTGCAAAAAAAACCTGAAAAAATCGACTGACAGTCAGCGTATAATAGGTTTCAAAAAAAAAGAGAGGATTCCAGAATTGATCGTCACGAGACCCAGTATTAACAATTGTTTCGAAATTTAAAAAAATACACACAGAAAATGCGGCTTATAGAAAATAATTAGGCACAGTAAACAAGTACGCTCTATTGTACAAATCAGGGCTGTGCGGCAATCGGAAATTTCGGCAATTCGCCGAAAATAAAAATTTCGGCTATTAAAAAAATTTCGGCTGTTTTCAACGATAATTCGAAATATAAATACTGAATTTTCACGGTATCCCAAATTATTCAATGGACATTGATTTTTGTTTCGCCGATTTTTTTTTGATATCAAATTGCCGAAAATCAAAATTTCAGCAATCCGGCAATTCGGCAATTTGCCGATCAAACGTTCTCTTCGGCAATTTGAAAAATCGGCAATTTCGGCAATTTCCATTGCCGCACAGCCCTGGTACAAATCCCGCCCACATATAGAAATATACAGTGGGAATTGATTTAAATGGGTTCAAAATCAGTTTGAATTCTCTTTTTGCATTTGCCAAACTACAGTATACATCAAAGGCGCGTGCAAAATATTTCTAGCTCACACCAAGAAACAAAATTGTGTTTGGCCTAAATTTTTTGAATTTCTACTATTTCCTGTCTTCGTACATTTGTTTGTTTCGCAATTCAGACGTCATTCCGTTAATTTTTAATTTCAATGATATTCAAGGAAATGATATACTCATTAAGAAAAATTAAGCAGTTCGCCTTAAAATTTCAAAATAAGCATTCATGCGTGGCGAGACCATTTCGAAAGACGCACTCGTAAATCTACCCATCAGTCGCACAATAATATATTTTTTAAAGAAAATCGCGACTTGTGTCGTGTTTTTATTTTTTTTTATTCAGATTAATGTCCGCAGATAAATACATAATTGAGATTGGAAATTTGAATTTTATTGTTCACTTAATGACTTTTTTTAATGATGTCCATCTTTTTCGTGTGCGGCAAAGAATTTCGGGATTTTTTTGGGGAAAACTTTTCCCAATCCAGATATCCGCAAAAATTGCGATTTTGTTTTGATTTTAGCAGTTTCAGTTTTTTTTTTAAATAAAAATATGCCCATCTGCCAACAGCATTGTAACAGAATAACCGAAAATATGAAAATTAATATTTTTTCCTCAATGTACCTTTAAAATCTATCCAAAGTTTAAAGGCGCATGTATCTGCTGAAAATCGAAAAGTGATTACCTTCACAAAAAAGAGCACTTTACATAATTTTAAAAATATTCGCATTTTTTCAAAGCGGCTATTCAAATTTGAATTTAAACAATAGAATATCGGGTATCGTATTATTGATAACCTGCAAATCAAACTCACCGTAAATCTACACTGTCTTCCAGCTTTTTTTTTCGATTTTCATGCGTAATTCTGTGATTTTACTGTTTTCACTCTTCAAAATTCGTTCAAATGTCATCTCCATGGATTTGCAAATACAAAATTTCCAAAAAACAAAAAATCCAAAGCATTGCACTTTATTTTCATTTATAATACAACATGTTCTAATTAAATTGCACACAGATGAAGGCAAAAGTTGGAGAGAAAGTGAGTTGAGTTGAGGGTTTTGTGAAAGAAAGTGATGAGCGCAAGGATTCGACTAAGTAATATTGTTTGGCTCTCAATATACCCACGATAACAAAAAATACTAAAAAAAAAGAAACGATGTTATTTTTTTTTTGAGGGAGGAGGGGAAATCTATCGAAAACAATGTGTATCCGAATATGGTTGGCGGTAATATTTCTTGTCGCGTTCTGTTTTCAAAAACAAACCATGAGCCGTTGTGGCGGTAAACACGAACGCGTTCTCGTTCTCGTCGATGCCGGCCACATCCGGGCGGCCGTTTCGAGCAGACGAATGAATAATGGCGATGTTTTCTTTTTTTTTTCTAGAGCCATTGCTTGTTGAGCTGGTCAAAATAGGCGTCGGTTTCCTGCGCGGCCATCTGCATCGGCTTCTCTTTGTCGACGATTGGATTGACCGGATGCGTCACTCGCATCTGCAAAAAATTGAGTTGATCTAGAAAAAATTCCGACGAATTGGCTCAACCATTTTGACATTATTGTTAATTTTTGGCAATTCTCAAATTTGAGATAAAAAAATATTTGGTTGCTTTTTTAATTGGTTTTCAAACATTTTTCGGTTCACGTATAATGAAATTAGTGGAATATGTTTGAAATTTGCCAAAATTCCCAAAAAAAATGATTATTTTGAAAGTATTTCACGAAAAATGACCACAAACAAACATTTAAAATAAAAATTTGCCATTTTCGAGCAAGAGAAGAGGCAATTCTAATTAGAAAAATCGGCAATGCCTTGAAATGTTCAATTATCTCACGTTTCGAGGATTATTTCTAGCCAGTTTTTGAACTAATTTCTTTAATTTTTGAAATTTTCTGGCTTCCTCGACTTTATTTATAATTGAAATTAAAATGTTTTGTAAAATGTGTATAATTGAGTTTAGAAAAATCTTAAAATGCAAAAAAAGAAAATAACGAATTTCAATATCATAAAAAATAAATGTCAGCCATTAAAAAAATTTGTTTATGAAACAACAATAACAACTAATTTTTTAAAGACACGATTCTATGCAATTTTGAGACGTACGGTTCGTTTTCTTACCCAAGTCAGCATTCTTTTAATTTCCATTCGAAACGGCGGTGACAAATAGTAAAATAGGAAAAATACTAGGCTTCCGTACCTTCAAAAAATCGAATTATCAAAAATCGATTTTAATCTTTTAACTTACGTTAAAACACAAATATTGAAGAAAGTTGTGGCAATATTCAGAAAGGTGATGGAAAAATCAAAATTATCAAGCGCTGCTGATATCGTTGACATCAAATTGAACGCCGATACAACATTGATGATCGTCTTCATAAACTACATATAGCCAACATATATCCTTACTGTTTAGGTTTAAAGGCGCATACCTCACAAACTCGAATATTTTCAGATATCTGAAATCGCTCAGCTAATGAGTATTCTTTCTTGCTCTTCCTCAATTTCGCACTCGCTTCCAACCTGACATAATTGTATTTTTCGATTTGCAAAATTGTAAATGAGCAGAAAATATTCACGGCTAGCATTGCGACGTGTAAAATAATGGTGCTCTCGACTGGAAAAAGAATCATCTTTTATATTTTAAGAAATTTGATTACGTAGCGTATTCATTCAATAATTCGACGTTCAGAAATTCTAGAAAACGTTTGTTCAAGCGAAAATTGTCTAGAATTGCTTATTTTCTGTTTCCATTTAAAGTTATTTCAAAAATGAAATTCAAAATTTCGCCTGTCATTTTTGCAATCGATCAACGAAAATCCGTTATGAGAAAACCACTTACCAATATGATAAAGCCATGCCAAATAAGCGCTTGATGGAGGAAATACGATGAGGATAAAAACAAAAATAAAATGACGATTCTTCTTTTCATAATCCGAAAGAAAATATGAAGCACAACATCGTTCGAATGCGATAATGAACAAAGAAAATGACACTGAAAATGATAATAATTATTATAATTAACAATGGGTAATTAAGATTCACCGAAAAAATAGCAAGTGCATCGGGCATAGGAAGCCCAAAAAAATGCGTTGCCATTCTCTTTGCCATGAAAAATCAAAAAAATCTGCATTGTTCTCGTGGTCAATTGCACCAAATACTCGATGACACACAATTTGACGCAATTTTGCAGATTTTTATGGAACAGCCTATACTTGAACAATAATACTCCGAGATAGAAGACAAGAGGGTAACTGGAATTTTTTTGAATTTCGAGATTTAGAAAATATTAAAACGAAACTTACCTTATACAAATGCACACAAATTCGAAATAGGTGATCAGCGTATAATAGAACCACGTGCCGTCTTCTTTGGAATGTGTCGAATTGTAGTAGACGAATAAGTGCATTATATATTGCAACTGAAATACACGACTAAATGGCGTTTTGGGCAGTTTTTGACGAAATCCAATTAATCACCTGCTAACTATTATTACTATTACTTAATAATTCAATTTGAGCTATTTTAATATTCGCGATCAAAATTGAGCGTAGTCTCATTGCCGATTTTTTTTTGCTCGAAATTGTCTTAAGACAAAGAAATAAAATCAAGATTTATTGAGAACGCCAATAGAAAACAACAGAGTTGTGTCCAGAAATCATTGCTGCCAATGGCAATTACGTTCTCTCAATATATGTATTTACATTGTTATTTGTGAAAACACGTGACCACCGAGGGGGGTTACAATGCTTTGCTCAGATATTGTTGAGGAATGGAATTCATTGCTTTGCTAGGTTTAAAGATATATCCCTCCCCTCCCAAAATTCGAAGTGCCATTGAAACGGCTTATGCGGAATTAACTGTTGGATCAATTGATAGTAGAGTGAACCTGGAGCAAAACTCGGTAAATCACAGCGTCCGCGCGCAAGTCCGCGCGGCGTCCGCTGTGATTTACCGAGAAACGTTTAAAAATTTTCAGCTTTGTTGCAAAAAATACCGATCGAAAATAGCTACTATTTATTTATCCGTTTTCTGAATTTTTGAACCGCAAAAAAATCAATTACATTTGCAAGAAATCCAAAAGTTTTGGCGGCAATTTAAACTTTGGGCGGTATCTGTAATGGATCAATTCATGTAATAAAAAATGTTAAAAATTATGATTGAATGTAATTTCTCAATTTTGTTTTGTAAAAAATTCATGAATTGGTTCTTAAAAAGAAAAGAAAAAAAATTGAATAAGAATTTTTGAGACATCGCGAATTTGGGGACTCGATCAAAGTCAGACAGTAAGGTTTAATCGTAGAAGGTCATTTTGAGAGTTGCGTTATATTTTATATGTATAATTGGTATATGTCGATTTTGGAAAAAGAAAACACCCCAAAAACTATTATCGTCGGTTTTTTTAAAGTTAAAAAAAATTCAAATAGTACCATAACTATAATATTAAACAATGTTAAATTTCAGCACAAAAAACGCAACAAGCACTCCCAAAATCTGAAAATGCCACTTTTTGACTAGATTATAGTTCTTGGTCTTAAAAAGAAAAAAACTGAAATTCTGTCGCGGAATTAAAATTTCAACCATTTCCCCAAAAAACCAAATTATTAATGTTGATTAAAAAATCAACATTCCGTTCAATTGTTTCTATTATTGCGTGTCAGTAGTAAATTATAGTTTGATTTATGGTTTAGATTGAATTGAATAACGTTTGATCAGCAGCAAACAGATTTCAAGAAGAAAAAAAAACGAAAGGCTGCGAAGGAATCAATGTGCAAAAAGTGTAGCATTTTTTGCTATCATTCTTTTTGTTTTCGAATCAGAAATTTTTAATTGAAAAGAAAGGACAAAGAAGAAAAATAAATATTACCTATACATATACGTATAATTATATAGGAAATAAATGCCAACAAAAAATAATTTTATTTCGAATTTTTGTGTTTGAAACCAAAATCAAAATAAAACCGCTTATTAATCTTAATTCCAAATATAGGCAAAAAGTTTGCATTGAAAAGAAGCAAACAAACAAATTTAGTTTACCTGTTTCATGACTTTTCGAAGTTTCACCTGGCCAACGGAATAATATTGAAACGTATTGGAATCACTGATTTTTCATAGAAATTATTATTTTTTGTTCTTTAGATAATGCTCAGATCAAGCGTTAAAATGGCGAAACAATTGGGTTCCGCGATAATAAAATCGAGCAGTGATTGATGGAATTATTATTCGCTGACCAGATAAATAAAGCTACGATGTGAACGAACCTCGGATGGTGAGTCGCCGATTAAATACGGAGCCGTCATTGATCCTGAAATTGTATTTGTCGGTTTCAATTATTTAACAACTGAAGCGTTATCAAAAGTTCAATTACAAAGGTTTCTTTTAAACTTCAATAAGCATTAGAGTGAGGTCGGTGAAGATGAGCGTGCAGTTTTGGAATTTTAAAATTGTTTTTTTTTTTTTTAATATTTATTACTATTTCTAAGCTTCGCAACAGCTCAATTTCGAAATTTAACGTCTTCTTTGTGTGTCTCCTATCAGATCTGAATAGCAATTTGAGAACATACAACTCACGGCTCGCAGCAACGCACGCGTGGCCTAGAAAAATGGCCCCAAAAATTAGGGACGGCCACGGCCACACTTGATGGATTTCCGCGTGATTGAAAATTTTTACTCAGGCAAATGAAAAAAAAATATTTTGAGACAATTCTAAAATCTTATGAGGTTCGTTGAGAGGCTAACGTGTCTCTATAATATTTTAGATTTGTCTCAATAAACTTTAGGAAATCTCATAAGATTTTAGAATTTATCAATAGGTTTCAATGAATATTGTGAGACTTTAAAGTTTATCAATAAGTTTTAGATTTGTCTCAATAAACTTTAAAGTTTATCAATAAGTTTTAGATTTGTCTCAATAAACTTTAGAATATATCAATAAATTTTAGATTGTTCTCAATAAACTCTGTCCAATATTATGTAATATCATACGTTATCGAGCAATTTTCACACAAATAGAATGTAATAACAGCCATAATAATTGAATATGTATGAACATTTCATTTATTACAATATTAATGCGAAATGAATATATTAATAATAAAAATCAGAAAAAAAAATAAATGAATCAATTTATTCTTTTCGCATTTTCTCCTTTTTCTGCGAATGACGCACAACGTTGCTATAAGGAATTCGTTGCATATACTGAAAGAAAATGTTGAACTTACAAATTTTGATGATTGAATTTGTCGTTTTTCGATTAATTTCATGAGTTCTTTGCGATAAAATGACTTCTTAATTAAATCCGGATTCGCGTTGAAACGAATTTTCAATGAAGTCACAATCTCGTGATATAGTTTATAGCTGAAAATTGCCAGTTTTAAAAAATAACTGAATGAGTCTAACTTTCTCAAAATACTATATCCAATCCCGTTTGTCTGTTCCGAGCACATGTTTCTCTTGATAACGTGATAAATGTGCTCATGCGCTTGCGTGCTTATTGCCGACAGCTGACCACACCGCCTGACATTACTGTACAAATGGTATATAAGTTGCTGAAACAATAAATACAGTAATCATTAGTATTATTTCTTATATCAACGACAATAGCATGATGCTACAACGTTCAATAACTCTTAAAATTGCAAAAAAACGACTTACGTGCACTTTTGAACCAGAAAACAATTGAGGCGCCCCATCTCAAATTAGAATTTCTAACAATTTGCAAATATCTGCGATCTTAAATAAAAATTTTCTATTATGTACATAGCTAACGATCCCATATTACTTTGTTTGGTAATGTTGTATTTGTAACTAAGCGAGTCGGTGACGCCATCCATTGGTAGCAGGCATGTATAAGCAACACAACAGCTGAACCTAACGGAGGGATGGTCCCATTCATGGCGTTAGAAACAATTTTCACTTCAAAAATCTTCAAAGGATGATAATTGCAAGTGGTAAATTAACTTACACTAGCTTTTTCGGACCTATTAATGTCATTGAATTTTCCTGATAGCGACTTTACCGAAGATGGCAGTCTCGCTTTCACATCAATAGCTTTGCATCGAAAAATATTTATTTCGTTTTTAACGAAGACTTCTAAAAAGCAATCTTCAATTTTTAAATGCTGAAAAAGGAGAGACATAATTGAAGTACCTTTTATTATACGTGTTCCCTCGTGAAAAAGGTGGAAAATATCCATGGCCGTGATCCACATGGGCACCTGCTCATTGAATTTGCTGTATTTACCTCGTTCCTTAAATCTATCGGTCAATGTTTCTGGAATGTTTGTTCCACACTTTTCCCGATCTTCTAAAATATCGAAATCATTAGAAACTGAAGTATAATTGTAATTAATTGTAATAATTGTGCGTATTTTTAAAATTCATGAACCTGTTCATGCAATGACATGTTTAGACACAACTGTTTCAAATTCAGCATGTAAAACAATGCAGATTTAAGGTAGTGTTAAACATTTATTATAAAAACTTGCATTTCATGAATACGTCCATCACTGAAGTGAAGAAACTATTACAAAAAGCTAAAAAAAACGGAAGGAACATCAAAAACATAAATTATTTATTGGAATTTAGGAGATCTTAAAAAGAGACGCCGCAAATTGCGTCAGTGGAAGTCATAAGGGCCCTATTCAAATTTTAAAGTCTCACAATATATTGAGATACTTTATACTTTCTCAAAAGATTTAACTTTCTCAAAAGATTTAATTTACAAATTCCAAATTTTTAAAATTTATTGATTCTCAATAAGTTTTAGAAAGTATCAATAGACTTTAGAATTTCTCAAAATATTTTAGAGTTTATCACTGAATATTTGATTCTCAAAATATTTTATTTGATTTGCCTGAGTAATGTTTAATTTTTGGTGTCTCATGAGTCCAAATAAAAAATTGCATAAATACGTTCTTTTCTGATTTTTTTCGATTTCTTATCTATTTTCCATGATATTTTTTTCTTTTAAAGATTAGCCCCTCCTTTTAATGCTACTTGAGGCCGAAAATTTCAATATTTATTTAATTTTCCTTTTTGGCGCGAAATGTACAGAATCGTTTTTGAGATGGTCTCGTTTGGATCAGAGTTGACGATGCCATCGGCGAAAGCTTCCAAATTTCGATGCAAACCGAGTTTAAAAGTTTTGCAAAGTTTTTTTTTTCAAAAATTGATAGCTTTTTTCATTGAAATATTTCAAAAACTATTACGTAAAAGTTGCGAGGATTTGCCGAGATTTTTTCCTTTTTCTATTCAGATTTTTTTCTCAAAATTTCAATTTCACCCAACTGTTATGTGGCACGGATAAATGAAATGAACCCCCGTTAAAAAAGTGAAGAAGATATTGTGTAAGAAACGCAAACGTTTAAAATTATAAGGCAAGATTTAAAGGCGCATGCTCGAGCCATAATCCGCAACTCAAGTGAGAATAATATTTTGAAGAACGAATTTAATTTCGAGTTTATGAGAAAAAAACGCATCAAATTAGATTACGATGTTTCTAATAAAAAGGCGAAACCGGCCCAGCTGAAAATAAATAAGAAATAGACAAATTATTACCTCAATAAATCGAGTGGAATATACATACAACAACAACAAAAAGTGAGGAGGCGGCGGAAAACAAAAAAGACACCGAATAAGAAATTAATATATAGAAGAGTTCAGTTGGACATGCTCATTCGAGTTGGGACCACAAAAATAGCAATTGCGCGGGGTGTTGAATTAATCAGCTGAATGGGAGGAGAAGAAATATGATTCTTGGCTATTACGTGGGAGTTTCCGCATTTGGAAATTCTCAAAGTTTGATTGGAAACCAACGAGTATAAATGCATAGTCGGGGAGACACTGTCAAATGGGTCTCGTCGCGAAAAAAATACACTTGCAAAATTGGCAATTTTTCTTTTTCTGCCCACTCTGTTCCGGCCATTATTTTGTTATGATTGTTCCAAATATTATATATTGTGTTTGTGTGTGTGTGTATTTGTGAAATAACACACGACCCACAAGATTTCAATGTATAGAATTGTGGGGAATTTCCAGAAATTGAAATTGACAGAGTCCGAAATTGAAAAGGAAAGTCGCAATGATGTCCGCATATGAAAATGTACAAATTCATTTCTACTCGGTTGTCTAGATTCCAAGTAATCTTAAAATTAAGACTTCCAGCTGTTGGAGCCAGGCCATGATCAGTCCGATTGGCATCAACCCCCACATTTCAACAATTTTCTGACCATTGCCTATTATCCATTAATTAAAAATGAGAAGTTTGAGAATAATGAATCAGACTAACGAGTTGTTGCTCTGAGAAATTTTTGCAAATTATTAATTTAAATATGAAACGGGGGGAAATTTATAGGCGCTGTGGTCTCGCGCGGAATAACTCGTCGCTTGCATTAATTTTTAAATCATTGGAAAAGCTTAGAATTTATAAGTTGCTATGTAAAAAATACGAACAGCTCACTTGAAAAAACAAAATGAGTATTCAATGGGCGTGGCGAGACCTTCGACTACATATAAATATAAAACAATCTCGAATAGTTGTGAGATTCGAATAAATTTCAAATTTTTGAATGAAAATTATCTACAAAATGGCGTCATTTGTCAGTTCAACATTTCGTAAGAAGGGGCTTTTCTTTTTTTAAGCTTCATTTGATTACATCTCATTTTGGTCCCTATTTGAGAGGACAAATTAGGTATTTCATAAATATATGGGGGCGATTAGTTAAAAGTGGGCGTTGTTGGCAACGAGCTAAAATTCAATTTGAACTCTTGGCGCGAAATCAACTATTGTCGAAGAGAGACGACTTCCGCCTAAGACGGAGCATAAAAATATTGAACTGCACAACTTGGTCTCAATTATTTTCGATTCGGCTGCGTATAGAGTATTGTGTATCAAAACTACAGTGTACATTAAAAAATGTCTAGCTCTCACCAAGAAACAAAACTATATATATATATATTTTTTTTTCTTCACGATGGTCTCGCACGGATAAACTGACTATTTTTAATTTTAGAGATCATTCCATTAATTATTAATTTCAATGATATTAAGTATTCAAAGAAATGATATACTCATTAAGACCAATTAAGCATTTCGCGTGAAAATTTAAGCAAAATAAGCATTCATGCGTTGCGAGACCATTTCGAAAGACTCACTCGTAAATCTACCCGTGTACATCAATCGATTGACGCTTACAGTGTCTCATTTGAACTTGAAAAATACGTATTGCAATTTCTGTATTGTCGAATTCAACGAATTCTTTATTGGCTCGAAATTAAAAATTTTCGCATGCGCCTTTGATGTGTATTGTTTTTTGCGCACATGTCTGATACGCAGCCAAATCCAAAATAATTGCGAGACCAAATGATCAGATGCGTTAATGGATTGTTGTGAAACGTGCGATTGTTCTATCATTCGAACTGCCACTTGGATATCGTATAAAAAACAGTTTCCAGCGAGTTTTGCATTCCTTAGTTATCATAATATGAAAGAGCATTGTCGGAATAGACGTTTTTTAAGAAAAGGACGATGGATTTGGAATTCTAGTCTGGCTATATTCTCACGATTTTGAGTTCGTAGTTCAAAATCACAAAAAAAAGAATTGAGAAGCGATTAAATTAAGCGACGTAGACTGATTTGATTTATACATTATATTTGAGCGCCGAATTTTTTTTCTGAAATTAAAATAAATGCGAATTATGGGATTTGATTCCCCGCCCCCCCCCATTTGAGCAACAATGAGAAAACAAATAAAGGCTCGATCAAATTGAATATTCAAGTGCGGGAATTTCGGGCGCTGACATTTGAAAATAATTGAAAATTAAAATACTATAGGGCACATGCCGAAAAATATATCCCGATTATTTTATTTGTGACCAATGTGTGCTGCCGGAAGGAAATTGCCTGGGAAATCCTTGTTTTAAGGTTTTGATTTTATTTCGGAATTTTCTTCTCAAAAAAATTAAAAAAAAAGATGCAATAGAATATTTATTTTTTTTCCAGTTTAATTAATTTTTATAACTTGATTAATGCTATTTATTAAGCGATATTGTTTTGGAAAAAAAGTGAAATTCGAAAATTTCCAAATTGCTAATTTTTGTGGCAAAAAGCGCAACAACAAAACGGATGTTGCATACTCCGCTAACCAATTGCAAAAAGCAAGCCGAAAACACTAATTCAGAGGCTTAATTCAATTACTTCAGTGGAATTCTTGCAAATAAAACTTATATCAGATGACCATCATATGTAATTCTTTTCTAGAAAATTATTCAAACAACAAACTAGAAAATCGAAAAAATTGAATCAGAGGGTGGGATCATTCCCAGTTAGAGTTTAGACGGTGGGCTGAAACATTAAATTCCAATTTCGAAACGAGATACTCAAAATAATAATTTAATTGGTCTATTTATGAAATTCAATTTTTTTAAATGTAAAGTTTCAAAAAAAAAAAATCGTTTGAGTGCCAATTTATGCCACGTTATAAAATTGTGCATTGTCCGAGTGGAGTACAAGTCTCGTCGAGAAAATTTTCGACGATTTGCCAGTTGTATGTTGTCTGGCATTTAGCCAATTTTCCGCATTCGCGCGATCCCAACAATATGCATTTCTTAATACATATTAAATAAATTTTCTTTATTTTTTTTCAAAAATTAATATTACTCTTTTTTCTATGAATACAAACGTAATGAAACAAGCAATAAATATTATCACAGTAAATTGCAAAAAAAAAATGTAAAACAGATGCAAGGCAAACGATATTACCAGTAAAGTACAGCAAATTTGTAGTCAATGCACAAAGTAATAATATAATTAAAAAATGAGCAAGTCAAAATTGTTTAGGTAATACCCATAAACAACAAAAAATAAGGGAAATTAAAAAAAATAAAAACAAAGAAAATTTAGGTACAAAATTTGGGCACCGTGGAAAAAAAGGAGGAATGAACAGAAAACCAAATGCGAAATTAATTAATACTTCTGGTATTTATTAGATGGAGGAACTGGACCGGTTGCCCGATTCTTACCGCCAAGAGTATAATATCCTGTCGGATCATTCGGATACGAAACATACGGGGTGGTTGATGGCGGTCTGGATTGCACAGCTGGCGCAATTGGGGCCTCCTCGTGCTGCTGGGAAGCTGGCTTCGAGCCAACTTTCGAATACCACTCCTGGTATGTTGTCTCTCCAACACCTCCTGGAGCATTCTCAGGTTGACCTCCGTCCGATCCAGATAGCTTTGTCGAGGCGACACTTTGCGAGTAGTACCGAGTTGGCTGATGGTACATGGCATTGTCGAATCCCGATTTCTCTCCAACTGAAATTTTATATTTCTCCCACAAATTTGTAAACGTGTCGCGAAAACAAAAAACGTGCAAAATTGCAATGAATTTTCGATTTTGTTTATGCACACTCATTTTCATTTCATCCATTGTTTTGCTGTTTTTGTTTTGCTAACAATTCCGGGTAAATACTTACGCATTCGGGCTCCATACGACATATGAGCATCCGCCACCGGATAGGCTGACTGAAATCGGGCAATTTAAATCAGGAAGCATATATTTCAAATGTCTTACATATGTCGAGCTTCTTCTGCATCGGCAGAGAAGGCAGCAGATCAGCGAAACAAAAATGAGCATGAAGACGGAACACAAAGCAATGATCGCGATGTTTCTCCACATTGGCCAATCGTTGAGTTTGTCTTCTTCAGATGGCTCAAGAGAATCGTCAATTTCAGAAGCCTTGACAGTGGATGGCTCAATGGAGAATCCGTCAACTGGTCCGCGAATCGCCGTCTCTTCAACAAGCGACTTGAGTTCCATGCTCTTCGCAACATCATCAGTAGCAACGACTTCGAATTCGGCAATAACCGATCCCTTCTCGTAACCGATGATCTTCGACACTTGCATTCCCTTCCAGCGTTTCGCCAAAAGATTGTTGATCTAAATAAAGGGAATAACATAATATCACAAATGCGAGTTGCTTACAGCTTTGGTGACATCCTTGGTGAACAATTGATAATATTCGCTTTTTGGATCCATGAGTTCTTTGGTGAAATCTCTGTTGAGGATTCTGACGCGGAGTCCATATCGCTTCTTGACATCGACTTCTGGGTCGTAAACAGTGAATGGCTCTGAAATTTCAGAATTGAAGTTAAGCTTAAATATCGATGGTTGATTCCTACTTTTGGTGATCATTGGTGGCATGAGAACCTTCTTGTCCTTCTTCTCAACCATTGGAGTCTCAGTGGTTGTAGTAGTGGAAGTAGTGGTGACGGCTTCCGATGTCGTCGATTTAGTGGTCGACGTGACAACCGCATTCGATGTGGTGGTGGTGCCTGGAGCCTCAGTGCACTTGTTGAGACATATCTTGGTGTGACTCTTCAAAGGTGATTCTTGATGTTTTCGAATCTCTCCGTTCTTCTCAATAACTCCACCACTTGGTGTGTAGAGGAGGTAGACGCACTCTTGAAGATCAACGTCAAACTCGTCGTCACTGTGAAGCTCGCGAGAGAAGTTCGCAGTGAGGATTCCGTTGATATAAGCGGTTTCGACATCGAAGATGTCTTGTTGCTCATCGACGACTGGCCGACCGTAGTTGGGCATGAACTGGTCGGTGACAGTGATAGCATTGTTCTGAACGCCGATGACCACAGCATCGGCAGCAGCCATGTTTCCATCAGTTGAGAATCCAAGCGCAGTCCATTGGTTCGATTCAACCTTCGATTTAACTGTGAAGCGGGCAACCTGTCCATCGGAAATCCAAGTAACCTTGTAAGCGCATTCCGATTCCTTGCATCCTTCTGGGAATTCGATGCTTCCGGTACAAGTGTCCATGTCCAAGTGCATTCCGTGGACAGTCTTCTGAACATTCTCGAAGAAGTCAATCGTCATGATTCCTCTCTGATTCTTTCCGTGGTACTTGAACGACTTGCTGAAGAATTCCTTATCAGCTTGAATTGGTGCTCCGCCGGTAGTGTGCACGTAGTTCATCGGATCAGCTCCATGAGCCCAGATAACCGTCATTGGTCCTGGCACGAATGAGTTGTCCCATTTCTCAGACGATTGAAGCTTCTTGCGGAAGATCACTGTTGTGACGGCGTCCTCCTGGAAGGCAGCAGCAGATGTCAAAGAGTTCTTTCCACCGAAGAATTCATCCATCATTGGTGTTGCCTTCGATGGCGAGTACATGTCGACAACACGGGCTCTTCCACTCGAGACCATTCCAACAACCATGTCGGCGCAATGCATTCCGCTGGTAGCTCTCTTGGCAACAGATCGCTTCACTCTAGCTGGAAGTTCCTGAGAGACCTTGACGCCAGCCTCATCGCAAAGGCAGATTTTGGTAGCCGAGATTTGTGGCTGAACTTGATCATGATATCCAATTGGGGTCTTCGGGTTTGTGAAGTCGGAGCTCTTCTTGGCGAGAACTCTTCCGCCACCAACTGGGAACAAAAAGTATTGGCATTTATTCAATGGAAGATCGGTGATCGAATCCTTAGGTATCAGCTTTCGGCGGAACCAGATAGTTTGCGAATCATCTTCAGACTTTCCTCCAATATCATAGATATCCTGGCGATCAGCGGGATCAATAGCTGGAAGCTGACGTCCATAAGCAAATCGATCAGTGATGTAAGCCTTTTCATCATAAACCCATCCAGTGTACACATCAGCATTGGTCATCTGTCCATCTTTGGAGAATCCGATTCCAGTCCATCTTCCGTTAGTCTTGCTGGTAATTTCGAATCGCACATCCTTCGTGGTAGAATCGTAGTTCCATTTGGCAATATAGTCGCAGTCATTGCCAGTGCAACCTTCTGGGAATCGATACTCATTGATACAGCTAGCTGGAGCCTTCTGAGATGGTTTTGCCGCGCTCTTGCTACAGCTTCGAATGCAGACTGGCTTCTCAGACGATACCGGTGTGCTCAAATGAATCGACACATTTCCGTACTGATCCAATTTTCCTCCAGCAAGTGGATAAAGCATCTTCCAGCACTTGTCGAACTGTTTGTCGGTCGAATCTCCGGTGTTGACTTTTCTGATGAACTGCGCGCGGAGAACTCCGTTCGAGTGCGATCCGATGACATCTCCCGACGGTTTGACATCCTGCTGAGCGTCAAGAGCTGGCTGGTCGTATCCTCTGCTAGTCATGTCGTTGACACGAAGCTTGCCGTTTCGAGACGTCACAATGATCATATCAGCATCATTCATAGTTCCATCCTCGCTGAATCCAACGCCGGTCCATGAGTTTTCTCCAAGACGCGTTTCCAACGAGAATTCGATCTCTTCAGTTTCCTCCAAATAGTTCCACGACAACTTGTATTCACAGTCAGAGCAACCAGCTGGATAACGGAAATCTCCATAGCAAACATCGCCGTTAACTAGAAATTAATAATCAAAAAATTAAAAATGTGATTATGAATTTTTACCACTTGGTGGCGGAGCCACTGGTTTCTGAGTAACTTCTGGAGCCTTGGTGGTCGTGGTAGCTTTTTGCTCTTCTGGAGAACAATCTCCCCAATAGACGCATTGTCCCTTAGAATTTCTCGCGTAGCCTTGAATGCAAGCACAGGCAGCAGATCCGCAATCAGTGCAATCTGTTCTGGTGAAGATGCTAACACAGTCCGGCTCGCAAACTCTTCCGCATTCGTTCAATGTCTCATTCAAAGCGCATTCAGTTACAGTTGTCTTGATGGTAGTGTGTTCAACGATCGGAGATGTGTTGATATCTGAAAATTCTGTTCTAATTTTAGACTGTCGATTCGATTCATTTACCATTCTTCTCAATTGTTGAAGATGCTGTGGTTGTTTCAACTTTCGCCGATGTCGTCCGATCAGCAATCTCTGGACAATCTCCCCAATAAATGCATTCCCCATTGTGGCGAACATAGTTGTCAGCGCACGTGCACGCTGGTTTCTCACAGCTAGCTGGGCATGGTGCAGTGTCGTACATGTTGGCGCACGTCGGTTCGCAAGCAGTTCCACATTTCGCCCACGTCGAGTTCGACGGGCATGAAGATTCGTCCTCAACGGTCTTATCGCAAAAGTCGAATGGTACGCATGCGTCTTCATCGTTCGCCATTCGCACGAATCCCTCGTTACAGATGCATCTTGGAGTTCCGCACGCATTTGGACAGTTTGGAGTGGTCTCAGGGAAGTGGGTCCAATCGCAAGAGTGCTCACATTCGCGAGACGATTCCGGGCATTCCGACCATTTCTCATTTGGTCCGCACTCCTTTTCTCCGGCGTCAAATTGCTCGCGGTGTGTAGCGTTGCGGATGACTTCAGGGATTGTGAACTCTTCGGCAGTAAGCTCGCATGTCTGGCCAGGAGCCTTCCATCCAAGAGCAACCCAGGACTGCGTCGGATAGCGGAGCACAAATTCGATCTCATCTTTGATAATTCTCCAGTAGATCTTATTGCCTTGATCCTCACGCTTCTCATAGAGCGATTCATCGAAATCGCTGACGCTACGAATGGTATCCGATTCTGAAATATTTATTCTTATAATTGGTTCTTGTTTATTATTTTCTTACCTTCTTCACAATTCTTTCCGAATCTGCTAACTGGGCAGAAGCACTGATATCTCGGACTGTCACCAGTCCTCTTACAGTATCCTTGAACACCACAATCATCATCTTCCTTGCACTCATCGAGATGCTGACAATCGTCGCCGTAGTATCCTTCGAGACATTGGCAAACACCATTAACCCGATTTCCATGATTCAAGCAAGTGTTTCCGTCAGGAATCTTGTTCACAATGTTGATATCGGCGCATGAGAAGAAGAAATATGAGTTGCCATACTCGGTGGCTTGCGACGTCATACGAATGGCACAATCGTTGCATTCAAAGTTTGGCGGGAGCTCGACCTTTTTCGTCGTCTCACTGCAAAAAATCGTTCCATTTTTGAGGGAGATTAGCGTTTGTACTGCTATTAAATCGTTAACATTGACCCCAATGTTTTTATTAGAAGGCATTCTGAGAGTTTTCAATGGAAATTATACGACGGAAGGATGGGAAGGAATGGGTTACGATGACGAATCGTTATAATTAAAATATCAAAAACAAAATGGCGTAGTAAAACGTATCGTATTGACGCGAATAATGTTTCACATGTCATTTGAAAACCTAATTACAATATTCTAAGTTTTTAAATGAACCAATTCATGAAATGTATATTTATACAAAAAATTGAAAAAAATTGCAAGGAAGATGATTTTTACAGCCCCCCCTCCCAAATAAAATATAATTCTTTCTATTTTTTTTTCAAAAGAGTACATTTCATAAATATGTTCAGATAGATATAGATATTTTATTGCATTGAAAGGCCCATAAATCAAAAATAAATGAAAAAAATAAAAATTTTAAAAATATTTAAATAACTTTTTTGGGAGATGGGAATGTGCGCCCCATTGAGAATCCGCTAGTTTCAAATTTTCAAATAATTTGATTCCCATTTTTTAATTCCATTTTTTCCCTCATTCAACCTTTATTTCGTAATTTCAGCTCAAATTTCCATTCTACTTACGTCACATTGAATGGATCATTGAAGTTGGTAAAGATGGCGATCGGCTCATCCATCGAGTTCAGCACTTCCAATCGAATTCCTCCCTACAATCAAAACAAAAAAATTGCGCTCAACTCCAATCTCTTGTTAAATCATTGACACCGCGCGCATTGGTATCTTTTTTCATTTGAACCAGTCAAATGTGTGTGTCAGTTTTGACCCAATTTCATCGCGAAATATTGCGCGCGCTCCGCTTGCTACTGCTGCTGTCCGCTTGCATCGCACAGGCCGCGCCGTGATTTCTTTTGTTTTTTCGCCGCGAATTCAACAACGACGACTACTTGTTGAAAAATGTTCTTGCATGTAACACGCCAGCGATATTCATCTCAACTTTTGATGATGCGATTTGAGATTACTGTGGTTTTGACACATTTCGCGGACCCGAGTTGAAGAGGATTCGCGTCGATGCGAAAAAAAACAACTTGAAATGCGGTAAAATTGAATTAGTCACGTAAATTATAAATGACCGGGGATGATTTTTTTCGCAAATTCTACTTCAGGATAGCATGTTAAAATATTGGATTCGCCAAAAAAGCAAAATTGAACTCGCTGAATATATGGTCTATCATTCTTAATGCCCACTGTGATTCATCTCCCAGATTTTGAGGGTCATTCTCAAAACAAAAAAATGGTGTTCATCTAATTGACTTTCTAGAATTCCGTTATAATTAATGTGGTAGGTCAAGCATTCAGTCAAAAAAAAGCGGGCCATCAGATAGAATATTTTCGGATCATCAAGGACGGCGTCTCATGGCATTGACCTGATCATAAATTGCCACCAAAAACGATATATCAGATTATCTTGGCGGTGCATCTAAACGGTTGCGCAGGATGGATTAGGCAATTGCGCGGCGGGATCTCGCGACGTCTCCCCAATCACATACCATATGAGGAACACCAATGAACCATTCCAATTCGATGGTGGAGCCAGCCTTGAAGTACGTCCGAACCCCTAGATGGTTTGATAAGATTAATTGAACATGTAAAAGTTGTGGTACCTTGTCCAACTGCTGGTTTCTTGACACCGCATGCTCCATCGCTGTTCGCCGAGCTGTAGTAATCGAGAGCCGGCGCACGTGCGACCGGATAGACGAGCTTCACGTGAGCATTGATCGTAGCCGCTAGGGCGAATAGGACAAGTATGGAAGCTCGTAAGAGCATCTGAAAACGCGAAGGTCGTTGTAAAGTGTTTCAATGATTCTGAAGGAGATTGAACAAAACAATGTAAACTTCAAATAATGCGAGTCTATGACCAAGGTTTGAACAGAAGGGGCAAAAAAATTTGGAGTACCGCAAAACCGGAACATTCAATAAAAGTATTCGTTTTACAAGGAATTGGTAAATAAATATAAAAAAAGAATTCGCTGCGAGACCCCGAATGATTAGGTGTAATGCTTTTAGGCAAAATATCAATGGTTGATCTCATTAATGATGGCGCCAGTTCCAGAAACCTGATCACTCAATTCAATGACATAATTAGAAAATCGACGAGTCTTCCAGGTATCGCAAAAGAAAAAAAACAAACAAACAAAATAAGGATCGAAAATTGAGGTGAAAGTAGCACCAAGGCGATTCTCGGCTGGTTGGTCTTCAATACCGAATAAGTGAGACTTGTATGCGACGACAAAAACCACACAGACACAAGCCAACGAGGTGGTAATGGTCGATGAATCCGGATTTGGTGAAAAAAAAACACACAGAACGCATGTTTTCAAGAAAATGCAAAAAGATTAAGCCATGTTTTGTTTTTGTTGCGCATTTCAGATAGTAGTTGCAATGACAAAAATCTTGCGGATGTAATGTGCGCTGATGGGCGGAGTCAGACTAGGACGTCGGATCGCGGCGGGCACGACCGACAAGGCCGATTAACTGGAGATAACAATTCGGTGCACTATCCGCCTCATCCAACCGACAAATACTACTAGCACCTTCTAATTAGAAGTGAACGCGCGCGAATCATAATTGATAAGGAGCTGTTTTTGAGGGGGACGATGAGTGATGCTTGTTCCAGCCATCTGCGGACAATCTACGCGGTTCTTTTTTTGTCAATCTCTAATCCCTTAGAAGATGTCGGATCAAATGTTTTTTTGGAGGCGATTCGCGAATTCTGCTATTGGGTTTTGCTAATGAGTTAATTAGAATCTGAATGCGGATCGAAGCAATCTTGATTTTTGGAAAAGTGCAAAAATGAATGGAAATCTTCTGGAGGGCTTTGATAATCCGCAAACTTAAACATACAAATAGGGGTGTTGCTGAACTAAATCATTTGAATTTACACCAATAGAGGAGATGCTGTGGCCTCAATTAGCTGCAATTAATGAGAAACGTTACGATGTTGTTGTCCCTGGCGCCGGGGGCGAGATCAGCTGAGTCACTGAAAGCTTGATGCGCCTTTGAATGCGGTCTCGAAACGCGCTGGAATACTGTAAACTGGGATCATCGAAATTATTTCCAATCAGCAACATTTCAAGGCGCTTAAACAAAAATTGCGAGGGGCATTTGAATGGTTTCTTAAAGGCACATGCCAAATCGTAATCCATTCAAATGGTTTCGGTGAATTCGACACGTCGGCGTTCACTCAAAAAGAAAAGAAAAACCAAGATTAAAACTTCAATGCGAAAAGGTGTTGGTTGGAAATTGGATTAGAAGAAGCTTGTGACGAAGCCGAACTGGAATCCACGAAACCCAAGGTGGTAATATGGTGCGAATGATGTTTCGGGCAAAAGCAACAATTAGACATACGAAAAAAATAATGCGAAAACGCGAATACATAGTTTGATATGGGCGCAACTGGCCAAATCCACCAAACAGTTTTCGAATTGTACATTACAATAGTTGTAAGTGTTATTGGCATCCATCCATTCAGCCATCCAGCCGCCTATTCCGCTTATTCTTTATGATCCGAATATACGATTAGAATTGGTGTGTTTCTTCTTGCCAGTACCAATATATGCAAAACGAAAGGGAAGAGAAGAGGGGGGGGGTCCGAGTTGCGAATAAAGACAATAAAGTATTCGTGAAAACATTGCAATTATATTGAAATCGAGACACACCACGAGCGACTAATTCGAGATTCTGATTGTTTTTCGTGTTGGGGTCAAATCGGGAATGAATGAAATTGAAAGCGATGTGAGTGAGTATGTGTGTTTCTTTTTTGTGACCCACTAAAAAGGGCAAATCGCGCTGAACGCACCTATTTGATTAAACTTGGGATTTTCTTCGGAAATTCCGAGAATCGAGGACGCGAGACAATCAAAATTTGAAGAGGCCTCAACTGGGCACCGAAATAATTCTTGTTTTTTTTTTTAGAAGAAATTTTTACAAAAACATTATTGGATTCACTTCTCTATGGGACCATTTTTAAAGGCGCACGTCTACTCGAGTCATTACAATTCAATTTCAACGCAATTAGTACTATACCCAACCCATTGCGAAAGTCGCTATTGTGGTCCCATTAAAGGGAGGTCATTGACTTGACAAATTGCCAAAAGTAATCGAACCTACTTGATGGTCAGCCCTTTTTATGGTTTTGACCTGCTATTTTGAAAAACTAGATAATATTACGAAGAGAGGTGAAATTGTGTGTTTAAAGAATATGCCCAATTCTTGGTGGTATCTCATCAAGGAAAATGCGGACGCGATTGGTGCTAATCAAATGTTGATAAATAAATCAAGCTGCGGACAAATTAAATCGCGAACATTTGTTCGAAAACGTACAGATAATGCCCTTTTACGCGGCGCCCAAAATATGATATAAAACTCGGAATATTCCGGTTTGAAGCGACGACAGTGTTTATCAGAATGAATTGCGCGAAAACTCAATTAAATCTCGCGCCAATTAATAGGTGGTAATAATCTGTCGTCGGCGGGTGTGTTGGTGGTGTTCTTCGACTGCGTCAAAAAGACGGTAACAATAATACAAGACCGTTTTGACTCTTTGCCAGTCGGCTGACCCACTTTCGTCTTGTTCGGTTGGGGGGGGGTCGAACGAATCAAGGAGGCGGCGGCCGACGAACATGCATGGAATTGAATTTAAATTGTAGGACATCTCTCGGCATTTTGATAGCCACTTCGGAGATGACATAACATTTGAAATGACCGCCAACGGAAACATCGAATGTATTGGTATCGGACACCAAATTCGATTCGATTGCAATAACATCATCACAAGGGGGGGGGGGTTCGCCATATTGTATAAATTTTCAACTTAATGCTGATTGGTTTGAATCTTGAGGAGAAGCTCAAATGGGACTAATCGATTCTCTAGATTGAAAGCCAATCACTCACAAATAAAACGCTTAGTGTCAAATGTGTGCCAATTGTGACAACGTGAACTCTGACCTGACGTGCGTTGATATTCAAAGAGGGATGACAATCTTCTGTGGAGAAGTTGGAGCCAACATAACCTTAAGGAAAAGTTCTCATCCTAACACGGATCGGACCATGGACACGATTCTTCGTTTTGAAGGAACCATGCAAACACGAATATTTATGTACATAAAATCAGGAGGCAAATATCAGTTTAAAAAAAACCAAGAAGCACCCATTTCATTCAAGTTTTTTTCATCGGTTTGGTTTGATTGTTTTTTATGTAGTTCCTATTGAGCCCATAATTAATGCTGTATAGGCAGTTTTAATGACACATCGAATTTCGTTGGATTTTGCCCTTAATTTGAACGACCAGACTGTTTCGAAGCCTCTATGTACTGAATAGATATTACCTAAAATATATATTTTTACTGTACATTCAACTTGCTGCTTCCACAATAATCGCTTTCTGAATAATCCGAAAATTGTCCATCAAAATCGAATTTATTCAAAAAAATCACCATCAAACACCATCAAATTATCAAATCCATTAAAATTAATGGCACAAAAAATATGTATATAATGGGGGCAGTTTATTCGAATTTCCATATTTCTCCAATGCTGTTTCTTCTATTTTTCTCGATTATTGTTTGCCAGACAAATGCTTATTATGAACTGGTTGGTTTTGACAAAATCGAATTATGATGATTATAAGGATTTGAAGGATCACCAGGGAAACGAGAAGAATCGCAATGAGAAGAAGCTGTTCTCCGGCAAAACCATAAACAAATTTTTCGGTTTGATTTGCGAATCAAGAGAATCTCGAATAGGTCGATTTAAGGTGGCGCGAAATTGTCGAGCTACATCTCGGCAATTCCCAGCTCGTATCCGCACAGCAACTCCGGAATCGACACCGTCATGCTCATGGAAGATGTCGCAGGATGGTAAACCATTCACTAATAAAGCCACTACATACATATTCCAAGGGTCCGTGCGCAATCTTCTGAAGAGAATGAAGGTGCTATACAAGCAGCCGTCAATCTTCTCGCGTTGGTCCATGACATGAAACAATTTTCGGCGGAGGTCTGCGGACAGAAATTTTTCAAATTTGGTAACACTCTGATGTCATATAAAAAACCCCACATTGTTTAGTTGAATTCGCGGATTTTCTCAGATTGCAAAGGACAAAATACAAGGCTAGCTCAACGGTATCTTATTCGAAAATAATAGTTGTTTAAACTAAACGATATGCTATATTTTCAGCCACCTGAAATCAATCTGCTCACACAAAACAATGAAACGAAGGCGTTTTCGTTTAAAGTCAGCATTAATAGCACATGCAAAATGGGGTATAATGTGCTAGATGAGTATACATTCTTCATTGGGAAAGTGAGAAGCTCTTCCCTATGCATTTATTCGGAAATTTCAGTATTCGGCTATCTTTTCAATATACCATATTGATCGAATGATTTTTGGCGGTGGATGCGCCGAAACGGGATCAGTCAATCCGGATCACATATTTCCGAACAAGACAACACGAATAATTTCCGAGTTTGGAAGCGGCCAGGAGTTTGGACAAGACGTTGCGAAGCGGATTCCGTTTCCGCCGCCGTCTGAAGGCTATCCATCGAACGTCTATCAGACACATTTTGCAAGTGCCAATCAGTTCAAATCAAAAATTTGCACCGCACCAGGCATGGAATTCAGTTTAGGTTTTCATTTTTTAGAATTGAACATTTTCGAAAAAAAAATTGATTGCTAGCCCAATTCGAAGCCTATTCATCATTTTTCTACGCGCGCTGGAAAATTCCGACACGAGAAATGGGCAAAGGAGCAGGATCGACCTATTACGAACTGGTCGATACACCCGATCTTTATGTCTTCCGACATAACATCCCTTTGATGTATCTTAATCGATATATCATGTTTTGGGATTTCATTGTTCGATGCGAATACGTTGGCGAATAATTGAAAGCAAAAAAGAAATCACAATTTGTTTCAGAATATCAATGGAGACGGAAAGTGGAAAATCACGGCGGTTGATATTGGATGTCCGAAGCAGCATATAGCGTAACTCACCGTGTCTGTTCATTATTTTGCTTGGTTCATATTCAGGGGAAAAGGAATTGAGGAGACTTATGGTCATGGAATAGTGGAGCAAGCGAACAAAGCGTAGCAATTCAGTTAATATTGAGAATCTGAAAAACAGCGATTCAGAATTACTGCATTGGTCGAATCGAGAAATTCGGAAGATTGGGAATGTCGCTTCAATTTCAATAAACTTTTCGAATTCAACGAGAAACCGATGAAATTGAAAATTTGCGATACGGAGAGCCGTAATTTTTTCGATTCCCCTCTCTCTGTATTTTCTAATATTTCAGAAGACGTGAAGAAGACAATGTGGGAGTTGTTCACATCGTATGATGCACAGAGCCATGTAATTGTGAATAATTTTGGATTTGAAGCAAACGAAAATAATTGCAGCGTGTCACAACGAGCATTATCTCGTATGCGCCGTACCTCAAGTTCACCATCAAAACCGAACTTATCGTTTGTGGCGTCACCGGAAATGAGTCGAGCTGGAATTTCCGCGCAAAATATGTATGAATTTATGCGTTTCATTCGATATTTCTTTCTCTTTTTTTTCAGGATCCCATTATGACGATTTACAACTTTGAGGAGCTCGAAATTGCGTGTCCAATTGTCATTAGTTATGGCCCATTGATTGTGACGAATTCAACGAGATTTTAATTATTTAATATTTTAATAATAATAATAATCAATTTTTAAACGTGTTTTTTTATTGGCAGACGGCGCATGACCTAGAAATTCAGCATAAAATCCGAGGCCATGTTTCGTTTGTTGCTCGAAACAGTAGCTTGGCATTTAATGAGCATTGATTTAATATTAGCTTATAAGAAATGAGAATAGAATATCGTCTCACTCCCTTAAAAAAACGGCTATACAAATTAGACGCCCCATTTTTTCTAGGCCAACGCACGCGTGGCCTAGAAAAAAATCTTCGAATACTAGGTTCGGCCACGGCCACACTTGACGGATTAATTGATTTTATTTGACGTATACCACGTGTGTTTATGATTTAAAAAACCAAAATTTCTCAATTAAATTGAGTATTGGCTAAGTTTCCATGGAATTTTCTTAAATTCAAAATTAGTGATTTTTAAAATTAAATTTTTTTTAATTTTAAAAATTTAACGGATACGGTAGTTAAAGGCGCACACACAGTTTTTGCGCCGAGTCTCGCAGCGGCCGATTCTGGTAGCGACGTTTTTTTCGGAATTAAATTCGTTTTAAATGATGAAATCGAAGCCTATTTTTTGCAATTTTCCCTCGCACAACCCCCCCCCCTTTAAAGTTCGATTTCTTTATTAATTTGAAAATTCCAAAATATTCAGTTAAGTAGAGAAATCGAAAATAAGCGTGAAACGCAATTATTTGCAATAAGTGGCAACGGAGAACCCCCAGACATTGACGAAACAGCATGGAAACTGCGGAGGGGCAGACGTCAATGGTGTCGATATACGCGTTGGCTATTTGCCAGGACCTAGTTTGATGTGCAGGTTAGAAAGAGGGACAGCTGAACAACTGATACCGTAGCGCTCCCAAACGGCGAGATATTTACAATTTAATTTTTGTTTTTTTTTTCCTTTTTTACACCGAAATTCAATATTATCGAAGAAACACGATTGTCGGGAGGCATCGCACAAAAATTCGAAATAGGCCTTTGTGGATTTTTTTTTCGTAATTTTCGTGTTGACTGAGTAATAAATACAAGAAAAAATAATTACTGTAGATGTTTAAAGACGCATGCAGAAACTTGTTTTTTTTTTCACTTTAAGACCGAATTCTGTAGCAACATGTTTTGCTGAAAAATTTTAATTTTCTCTTTTTTAAATTTCTTTAAAATTTTGAATTTCAGCGTGTCGTTTTTAAAAACACTTTAATATTTTCCGATGTGTTTGATGACTAAAATATTCTCGTATGAAAACCCAATTTTCTGTATGAAAAATTATGTTTTGCTTAATTTCAGACATGGGTGACGTCGAGAAACAGGCGGAAATCAAGGAGAAGAAGCTGCGCAATGTTATGCGCGATCTCAAGATCCAGAAGCTCTGCCTAAACATCTGCGTCGGAGAATCTGGAGACAGATTGACTCGCGCCGCTAAGGTGATCTTACACATTTGAATGAATTGACAATTCGATGTAGGTGTTGGAGCAGCTCACCGGTCAGACTCCGGTTTTCTCGAAGGCCCGCTACACCGTGCGTACCTTCGGAATCCGTAGAAACGAGAAGATCGCTGTGCACTGCACCGTTCGTGGACCAAAGGCCGAAGAGATCCTTGAGAAGGGACTCAAAGTCAAGGAATACGAACTCTACAAGGAGAACTTCTCCGATTCCGGAAACTTCGGATTCGGAATCCAGGTTTGCCGAATATTTCGCTGATGTATGCAATTTTGATGACACAATTAAATTGTAGGAGCACATCGACTTGGGAATCAAATACGATCCATCGATCGGAATTTATGGAATGGACTTCTACGTTGTGCTCGATCGCAGTGGAAGACGTGTCGCCAAGAGAAGACGCGCTCCAGGACGCGTCGGACCATCGCACCGAGTTGGTCGCGAGGAGGCCGTCAAATGGTTCCAGCAGAAGGTAAATATCATCCAACAAAATGATTTTATGCTAATTTTTTTCAGTATGATGGAATCATTCTCCCACCAAAACCAAAGGTCAAGCGCACCTTCCACCGTCGTCGTTAGGTTTCAATTATGAAATAAATTATTAATTTCATTTCGATAATTGATTCCTTTCATTGTTGTTTGTTTGGTAAAGCTCGGTACATTGAATTGAAACATTTCGATTAATACAATTCACTCTTGCCCCGCTCGTATCAAGGGCATGTCATCAACTAGAATATCACCTAGATTGTCATCCTAATTTTCATCACTAATTGATTACGGTTTGCTACACGATAGCGCATAAACTTTGGTTAAAGTTTTAAATATTGAATATTCATCTGGAAAAGGGCCCTTGAGAATTTTCTGTTTTTTTATCCGGGAATTAGTCAAATTTTCAAATTAAAAAAATATATGTTTGTAATCTTTAAAAAATCGATAAAAATTAAACATGGCTTACAATTTTCACACGATGAGAGTTCTAGAATTTCGTACGATTTAAGTTTGCAAATCCTTAGAAAGTTGATAATTAAACAACAATTTAAGAAACATTTATGTCATATATGGGACACTTTAATGCGCGGTGGAGAGTTCCGAATGACCACGAAGCGCCGGGCGAAGAGCCTCGATTCTATGAGATTCAGAATACGCCCGATGTTTATGTGTTCCGCTATACAATTCCATTGATTTTTCAAGCGACTGCTTTGTATATTTGGAATTTTCAAGTCAAATGCTAATATGTGAGTATTGTCGGCGTCAAACGACTTGACGAAATTTTAAAAAATCTTGGCTAATTGCCAGATTTCTCGAGGCGAAGAGAAGTGTATGTGGCATACACTTTGCAGCGTGTTTTGCGCAGCGTGTTTTTGGGCGCGTTATTTTTTGAGAATTTTTCTGTATCTCTTTTTTTTTATTGGTAAATTTCTTTTATTTTTACGGTTTATCTTACATTTTTATAATCGCTGATTGATAGTTTAAAATTTTCATATATTTAAAGGCATTTTTTAATTAATTTGACATTGTAAAAACTTATTCTTCATCATTTTCCGTTTTCTAATTTTTAGTACATTTTAGGAAACACAATCACATTGAACAGGAGCCGAAGGACTTTGAAAACTACTGAAGTTAACATGACGGGTATTATTTTATTTTTATTTAAAATTGTCATTATTTTATCATTATAGTTGCAGCGACTACAATGGCATCAAATATTGAACCCTTCGCGCAACCTCGAAGACAACCTCCAACGGACACAAAATTCTGAACTATATGCTCGCCTCGGTACTTCACAGCTTCATCAATACTAGGGAAAGGAAAAAATATACTCAATGACTTCAAGCTTCTTCCGAAAGGTACGTTATCATTTTTTTTTAATCTTTGTAGACTCAGTTTTCTTTTTAATTTTGTATTCAAAAAGTTATTACTAGTTTTAGGCTATTGGAATCAACGCTCGTTTGGCTTTCGGTTATAAGTTTCAATTGTGCAGCGTCTTGGTGCATTTCGAAAATTCTCAATTAATCGGATGACTTTCCCCTTTGAACAATAATTTTCATACTATTTTTACGGTAAATAAAACATTGTTGTGGTGCTCTTAAGATATTCGATAAATGTACGATTCTTTCGTTTGTTTAAGTAAATGCCGTTAGTTCCGTGAACTTTTACGTATATATGGAGGTCGACTCATTATAAGAATGCAAATGACAATGGGTATCAGGATTAAAACACGCATAACATTTATTTAATATTAAAAAATCGAAAAAAAAAACCATTTAATATTTGGTCATCGCGTAAGTCTACCCGCTCGTAAATCTACACTGGTTACGATATACTGAAGGCCACGCCCCCATCAAGTCGTTTGACGCCGACAATATATTCAGCCATGAAAATAACATAAAGAGCTAGTAAATTATAAGTATGAGATATGAGTGGATTAGCTGGTCCCCTATTTTCTATTATAATACTCATCGATGTTTCGCATGTATTACATTCAGGAAAACCTAATTCGTCTGAAAAAGTTAAAACTCAAAATGGAAATTCTTCAATGCGTTCGGGTTCCGTTTTTCTTTCTACAGAGAAGCAGACTCATAATTTCATTAAAATTTTTCTATTTCGGCTCACTTTTTCATAAATATCAATTAAATTCTTTTTAAAATGATTTTTTTTAATGTTCTGATCTAAAAACGGAAACAGAAAACAATTGTATGCAATATTTTAATTCGAGTTGGCTTTGTTGAATATTAAAATTGTTCACTCGTCTCATGCTTTAGCGAAAAGGAACAAATTATTCTTTAAAATAAATATTCAAATTTGCATTTTTTTTATTTCATAATCAAATTAAACCTTTATTTTGAATAACATTATATAAACTGTTGGGAAGGAAGCTAAAGACTCATAGATTTGAATTTTTCGGGTCTGATCTTGCCGAATAAACCCCACCTCAGTAGAGATTTCTTTTAACTGCATTTTTTTCAGAATATTAATGGAGACTTTATATGGGTACTCACTATAATTGATGTTGAAAGCCCGCCAGAGATGATTGCGTAAAATTGATACTTTATTATAGAAAATATATCGATTTTCTAATTACAGAGGATTAGATATCCACAAATTATTTAAAAAGGGTGTGAAAAATGGGAGCAAAAAATCATTTAAAAAATGGGAGCAACAAAAATGGGAGCAAAAAATTATTAAACTGGAAGCAACAAAAGTGGGTGCCAAAAATCAGGGGGGGGGGAGCAAGAAAAGGGGAGCAAAAAATTATTGGCCCACAAATTATACTCGAACCCATTAATTTCATTGGCCAAATCATCGTAAGAATATCGATTTTATGACGAAACAATTATATTTCAAGAGTTTGCGTAGTCGTGCAAGCAAATTCAAGCAACTGGAATGCTCGTTAAGACTTGGGGCGATTGTTTGAGGATACCAAATCACCAAAAATCACCATTTGAGATTCCGTGCCGTGTATAAGAAACCAATTCGCTTTTGCAAAATTTGATGAAGCCGATCTTCAGAAAACCCTATGGGAACTTTACAAAGGATAGCAAGGCGATCAGATTGTGAGAAATTCGGAAGAAACATTTTAGAGAAAAATTTCAGCAAGTTCTGAACAATATCCAATCTTACCTGCTCTTCTTATATAACACAGTACTACTAATGAGCTATTAAAATGAAAATAATTTAAAAATGATTTTTAGTATTTGTTGCGATCGAATTTAAAATCAAATATTGTCAGTTTCAAATGACCAATCGAAATAAGTGAAAATCTCCTACTTTTCTTTTGAGAAATACAATTCAATGTGCAAAAAAACGAGTGCAATTTGCCGATTTTCGTTGAGTTTGATTCCCGGGTTGAATTCCTACTATTTAAATTCAAATTTAAATTACCGCCTAGAAAGCAATTATGCAAAACGGTCGTTTTTTTTTTGCGATGCGCGTAGGATAAAATGCAGAGAGTACGTAGTCTCGCGTACTTCTCGCTGCCGCATTGGCACAGAGCCAAAATTATTTATTTCGATAAATCATTTGAAATCGACAATAACTTACATTGGTTATTTTTTATATGGAAAATGATTGATGATACCACCCAAACTCAAAAGTTTAAATAAAATGAGAAGTTTGAATTTCCGCCAAAATACATAGCGGTGTTTGCGGACCTTCGAAAATCCTTGCATTATCTCGCTAATATTTTTCTATTTTTGGTCAATAAATCCGAAAACTGAAATAAACTTTTGCGCGCGAAATGTGTGAAAACACTTTGACGCAAATGACACAGAAAAAAAAACGCAAAAAACTCTCATATAGTTTGGGAGAGTTTCTTTAATTATTATAATTAATTGGTTGATGTAAAGAAGTTATCCAATATCGGACCGTCTCTTCTATTCCTGCCATTGCCGTGCTCTACTGTCGACGCAACTCCAAAACCCATTTTCTGGGAGTCTTCTGAAAATGTCCTGTACCCGGAATTTCCAGAAAGCCTATGGAGGGGAGTCTTTCGGAGTTTTGTCGAAAAATTTTCGGGACCACTGGCAAACTTAAAACGATGACCTTCTCGAGAGAACACACTCATCCAATGACCAAGCGTGCGCTATTTTTGATATCGCAAAATGCAAAAAGTCAACAAAAAGCAAAAAATCAGCAAAATGCAAAACGGAATTCAAATAAATTTGCCCAAGCCATTGAGATGATGATGGTCTTCCATCCGACGACAATTTGTGGTTGGTCAGAGTAAATACTGCCATATTATGCTTCAACTTCTCCCTGAAAATAATCGTTTTAAAGTCAATTCGTCAAAAATGCCAAAGATCAAAAATGCGAACGCATGTCCTTTGCCCCACGACCGCAACACACGTGTGGTCTAGAAAAAAAACATCCTTTAAAAAATTGGCGACTAAGAATTGCACATAATTTTAAAAATTAGGCCATGATAGTGTGCCGCACTTCCTTTTTTGTTTTTTGAAGTTGTCAACCAATTTTTCTAGGCCGCACGTACGTTTCAGAGAGCTGTATGTCAGCCCGCTTCATCCGCGGCCGCGAATTATTCGGCCACGACACATTTCATTCACGTCCGCCATTATTTCGAATTTTTATTTATTTAGTGCCTCTTTATGAGATTCTTCCTAGAATTTTTTGTTGATTTCTTTTAAAAACACATTTAATATACGAGTTGTGTTACATTTATCAAATTAAAAAAAAGGTTTTTTTCGACACGAGAGCCACGGCGGAAATTCAAAAATTCAAAAAAGCTGCCTCAAATTCATCCGTCTACGAAAATACTATCTTTAATTATGCGGACGAGGGCGGGTGGTGTGTTTTTGTCGCAAGAATCGAAACCCTAAGTCCAAGAAGAGTTTTTCAACACGACCGTTTTTATTTTCAAAACGCACTACAGCCAGTATCATATATCAGAAATATTAATAAGATCTCATGCAAATAAACTAATACCTTTTTTTAAGAATGTTATTTCAGCGAACAATTTCTGTTTCTTCTTCTTCTGCTGATTTTTTTCGCTTCGAGAATCCTTCGTTTCACATCGATTTTGAAAAAATCAAAATTAAATTCGAAATGCAACAAAAATTATTCGATTTTCACAAATGATTTTTTCCCAAATTTTTGTTTAATTTTCAAATATTCCTACCGTCTTCAACTATATTCAAAATATGATTCGCCAATTCGGCGAGTCCCACCAACGATAATTCTCGACGCCACTCCACTGTGTGCGCCTAGACTTCACCAGGCATTTCCCTCCTGGCTCGGACCCTTTGCGGGTCACCGATGCGGGGTGTTGGTCCGCGTCTCGTGGCCCGAGAAGCGCGACACCCGTGCGGGCTCTCTCAAATCCGATTCAACGAATGTTCGCGAGACACGCTCACAGCGGTCCGAGAAAATCGTTGCGGGACTCATCTAAACGCAATTTACAAAACTCTTATAAATTGTAAAAACTTTCAGTGAAATACGTGCAAAGTGCTCGCAAATTATCAATAAGAAATAATTAAACTCACATGTCGAAGGCCATCGAATAAAAAATAATAAAATGAGCACATCGTCATAAATGAATGAATTTCGCTAGGGTCACGTGAATCAAATTAGGAATATTAATATAATATTTTTTTGAGATTTTAATTTTAATTTTTAAAAATCTAAATTTCATATTCTAGATATTTTTTTCTATTTAACTGTAAGTTTTTCATGATAAAACCTAAAAAAATAATTAGAAAATCAACATCAATTCGAGGCTTCCTTCCCTCTGCCGGCTCCCTCTTCTATGTATTTACACTCTTAAAAGATCCAACAAATTATGTTGTAATTTCCTCTCTTCGTTTGGAGAACTAAACCGTTTTCTTCCCTAATCGTTGTCAAATTCGCACGAGTAGGAAAAAAGAAACAAATAAAGGGTGCCGCTCCACTACTTTTGGGTAGGGATGGCAACAAACTCTTTAATTTATCGATTTACGGACCCAAACAAAAGAATAGATTAAAGGCGCATACTGCGAACCGAGACTCCGACTTAATTTTTTTTTTACAATTTAGCCAATTTTTAAAATAATCATATCAATCGTTATGACAAAGTAGAATATTTTGTAAGAACAAATTAATGTTTTGTTAAATTTGCGAAGATTTTATTATTATTTGAGTAATTTATTTATCAGATTTGACCAGCCATTTTAACGCAAACATATGAGACTATGTAAACGTAGCACATCATTTCCAAATTATAGCATTGGGTGATGCAGCTAAAAATAAATAATATTTTTCATGAAAATTGAGTAAAATTGTTTCTTTTTGACTTACAATTGATCATCAAGCAAACCATGAATCGATGGAAAAATAGTGAGAAAAAGGCAGTCCTGTTGGATGTCATCTCTGAAAATATAATTCGCATAAAATAAAGATTCTTTATACCTCATCACTCCATCGGGCCGACTTTCAACAAAAATGAAACGGTTGGTTCCAGTAACCAAAGGATCGATCCATTCGAACGATTGCTCCGCACATCCCGGATGGTTCATCCAGTCGGATCCCCGACAATTGTCGCGACGGACTCCAGCAACCCAGACACCAATTGTATCTTTTGTCAAGTTGCTTATTTTTAGCATTGCTTCTTCTGAACCCATGAATCCATTTCTCCCGTTAGTATTTTCTCTAGTTACGTGTTATAAACTCTCGCTCGTCATTTGATTCGATTCCAGCCAAATGAGCGTTTTCGGAGATACACCGATTTTGGGCATCGGCAAATTCGATTGGTTTCGGTTCTACGACCACCTTAATACATACTCGTCCTACTGCTCTTTCGCGTCGTGTCCAACCATCCTCGCACAGTTCTTCTTCTGAATATGCACGTCAAATTAAAAAAAATGTGAAAAAAAACCAAACCTGTAAATGCAAAATTAACAATACCAGCGGTGACGGTGATATAATAACTAAAACGCATCCTGCCTTGTATAAAAGCCCTCTGAAAACAATAAATATAATAAAAACTAGTATAATCGGCGTCCGGTGACTGCTGTACGCGGGTAGATTTACGGGGATGCGCCTTGAAAAGGTCTCGCCACGTGTGAACGCTCATTTTGCTGTTTTCCCGTGAACGGTTCGTTTTTTCTTGATGAGTTTCGCAATTCCTTGAATTTTCAATGTCATTCGATTAAAAAATTATTGAGCCGACCCATAAAATGCAAACCAGCCAGTTAGTCCGCGCGAGACCAGAAAGACGCACCCCGTAAATCTACCCGCACAGTCGCCCCACGCCGACTATGTACATAAATATGTATGCGAATGAATACCGATGCACCGTTTAACGTATTTTCATTTTCCGCTGGAAAACATTGTGAACTATTCTGTGACACCTTGAATTGGGTTTTAGATAAAGATAACAATTCCACATTCTCAAAACCTTGATCGCCACTTTTTTGTTTGTAGTATAATCGAGAATTTTGACGGAGAATGAATGTGTTGAGTTGCATAAAGAGCACGATTCGTTGCCATAATAAGCGACCTAGAAATTTCGAAAAGAAAAACAAATATCATAATTTCGCACGTAGGCTTACGACGCATGAAATGTCGGCTGCACAAGTTTTATAACATTGCTCCCAACTAGTTAAGAGTTTATCTGTGTTACACGCACTTCCTTCTGTTAAACAACCCCAAATCAATGAAATATGAGTATCTATGAATTCCTAAAATTCGAACTGTTTGATATCGTGTAGATAAACGAATTTACCATTTTGTTAATCTTGACAAAAAATACATTAATTAAAATCAAAATAAGAAAATGGTGTTGAGAAAAATTTTTAGGAGACATATTTACGAAAGTCTGCTTTTTTTGAGAAACAATTCGTCGAATCGCATAGCAATATTCAAAATAGCGAATTTTTCGGAGAAAATGAGCGCTGAAGTATTGCCGATGATTTATTCGGCCGTCTGCGGAATATTGGATTAATGTCAAAAAAGCAATATATGAATTTCTGCTTGTTTGGCATATCTTTGTTGAGCTCGTAAATCTACACATTAAGATATTAGAACGAATCAAGTAAACGCAGTGCACTCGTTTTTTGTTGAGAATCTATATGTGATGAGACCTTAGCAAAGACCCCCTCCCCTCTCCCGGTACCCCGCTTTCACCTGTCTGAGGACACCGAAATAAACTAAAGTTAATTTAAACTTTTACTCCAAAAGCCAAGTATTCGAGAAGATCGTGCAGAACGAATGCAGTGACGAATAGAAGGCTGCGGCTAATTCGAGCTTCTCCTCCATTAATTTCAAAAACATTGCCAATGTTTTAATTCAATATAATTATTTTCTCGGCGATTTTCAGATGAAAACAGGTTTTCCAGGTTTCTGATGGTTAAAAAAATGTGGTCACAAAGAACAATGGCGAGAAATGTCAAGGGTAGGGTAAAAGGGGAAGAAACAAAATATAGTAGAGAATTCAAATGAGGAGACAGACGACTCGTTTGACCTGATAATTTGCAATTTGGTCCCATTCTCATACTGAAATACTAAAGAAGAACATATAGATTTGGTTTTCGATTTGGGAATTCGATGTGATTTTCTTAATCATAGCTAAAAACTTTTCTAAACCTATCTTCTACTTATCTAAACATTTTGATCTACTAACATCCGTCGAAACGTCGGATAAAATACTGAAATAGTGTGCAAAAATTAAAAGGGTCCCATCGAGAAGATTTCTTCAACTTAACAATGCAAGAAATATCAATATACAATAAAGGTATAGTCGGCGTCCGGCGACTGCTGTACGCGGGTAGATTTACGCGCATGCGCCTTGAAAAGGTCTCGCCACGTGAGAACGCTTATTTTGCTGTTTTCGCGTGAACTGCTTCATTTTTCTTGATGAGTTTCGCATTTCCTTGAGTTTCCAACAATATTTGATTAGAACATTATCGAATCGGTCCATAAAATTTGAAATAACCTGTTAATCCGTGCGAGACCATTTCGAAAGACGCGTTCTCGTAAATCTACAGCAGTCGCCGAACGCCGACTATACATGAAACATTTATTTACTTTTTTTAAATCTGCATACAATGTTAATTAAATTTCAAACAGTTGTCTGGCTTCGACATAATTGGTTTTCTAGATTTAATTTGAGGATCACTATATCACACGAGTAGAAAAAAGAAACAAATAAAGAGTGCCGCTCCACCACTTTTGGGTTGGGACGGCAATAAACCCTTTACTGTATCGATTTACGGACCCAAACATGAAAATAGATTAAAGGCGCACACTGTGAAAATCAGCAACTGCGGAAAATTGGCTAAATTCCAATAATTATGACAGTGGTCTTGCCGCAAAACTAAAAGTGTAGATTTACGGGTCAACATATAAGGACAGGTTGAAGCACCGCGCACCCGAACCTTTTTTTAAATTTTGCGGCATTTTGAAAATGTTCCGCCGTTTACAATATTACTTTTTCATATATTATCAGTTTTACACTTTCAGATCCGTTTGGAAATGTATATTTTTAGTTAACATCAACATTTTCAAATCTTTTCTTAATTCTTGCAGTAATCTTCTTTCGCCGCTCTGAACCAGGTCACGATCCACTCTAATCTTTCCAGAACATATCAACATCACCAACCCATTAACGTGCCGAATCGAAAATCACAACTGCCGTTTCAAAAATGAATCATGAGACGGGGGATTTGGACGGGGAGATGAAGAGGATTCTACAAACAATATTATCGTCTCGCATATGTACATAGTCAAACTTTGTATGAGTTTCAGCATTTAAAATGTTACGTGGAAGATTACGAAGCAAAATAAGCAGCTTCGGGAGCTTATCACTCATTTTCACACTTGTTTGTGTCAAAGAACTTTTTTGATAATTGGCATTACGGTAGCATTGAAAACTAGACTGGAGCATGATAATTCATTTAATCCGTGTTAGGTGATTACACAGATATGGTTTTCGTGTATGAGAGATTTTATTTAAAATGTTGTTGGAATTGGTATCATGTATCTGAAAATCGTGTTACAAATTTCGTGGAATACTGATGAGCAATATCGTATGATTACAAGTTAATCGTACAATAATCATGGCACGATGAAATTGAGGAAGTCGATTGTCATGTTTCTAGCTGAATTCAGCGAGTCGCTATACACATTTCGTCAACACTACTTTTCAGCTCAATTCGAATAAAAATGAATTAGCTTCTCAAATATTTCAGGATTTGCACGATTTGCAATGTATTATTTTAAATTAAATTTGGTCATCACAAAATAAGTGATATTCATAGAACATCATTCAGGTCTTGTTATTCTGTAATTATTTTATTTCTGAGTCCCAAATTTATTGATTTGAACTTTTGTTTCGGGATGTTATAAATATCTTCAAAAATTCAAACCATTTTTTATCCTTCAAAAATCCTCGTTGGAAGTTATTCTAATCCTCTCTCACCCACAATTCGAAAATTCCGAAAACTTTGATGCTGCCGAATATCTTTTTGGACACGCCCATTTGCAGCCGAAGAAGATCAACGGGTTAAGAAGGTGGGCGATCCGGTGCAGCTTAAAATTCTCGAATTTAAACCCTATATAAAACGAGAGGCGCGTCACAAGATTTACCCTCAAAACTATGAATGTACAGTGCCAAGAATATTTGAATCCGATTCAAGAATTTGTTGAAGCTTCTCCATATTACCACTCGTACTATTCAAGGTTAGTCACTACTCTCTATTAAATAAACCATGTATTTGCCGAGATTTCTCTTATTCCACTATCAACACTACTTGCGATTTCAGAATGACTTCGGTTGAGTTGACCTGCTCAATTTGCTCGGATCGCGCTGAAGGATATCATTTTGGAGCTGTCAGTTGCGCCGCGTGTGGAGCGTTTTTCAGGTATCTCATTTTTTTGTATTTTGAAGCCTTTTCTGAAATATCCAAATTACGAATAGTATTATTCTAGAAGGAGTGTTTCGGACCAAAAATGTATTCGTGCCCAAACCGCCAATGCATTGTTACTTTTGGTAATACTTTTGGCATTTTGTTTCTCAACAATTGGATCGAGTCTAGATCCATCGCGTCGTGGCGGTTGTTGTCGTTTCTGTCGATTTCTCAAATGCCTCGCATCTGGAATGTTGCCGCAAGAAGTCCGTGCGAAGCGATCAAATTCGGTCTCTTCATTTTCACATTCTTCGCCGAAAACGATGCCACTGATGACCGTTTCAATAATCGACGATCTAGTGACTCTTTGGAGAATAATTAAAAATGAGAGACAGATAATGCCACGTGGCGAACCGCGTCATGCTGACATCTCCGTTTTTCGGCAATCCCTTCATGATGAATTTGCACTATTCAAAACGATTGTTTCCCAAAATCTCATTCTGAATGAGATCGTTTTTGGATCAGCTGCACAAAATGTCGAATGCCAAGATTGGACAAGATTACGCTATGATGATCCGCTTCGCGAGGTATTCGTCATGTTTTTCCTTTTCGAGGTTTGCCTCACAACATGCGATAACGGAGGAGTTCAATTGGACAGATTGGTACTTCCAAATTTGGTAATTCAAACATGATTGGGTTGGATGATTAATTATGAGATTTAAGAGTTACATCGAGATGAATGGAAAATGCATTCAGGGCTTCTTCCAATCGAACGTTTTCGCAGCCGACAGTCTCGGGAGACTTTGCGGTAACTCATTCTCATTTCTCGTGCAGGATGTTTCCCGTGTGATGCAATCAATCCATCTCGACGAGTCGGAGGCTGCTGTCCTATTCTTCATGGCGCTCACTCAAAGTGGTAATTGACATAAGCGGTGTTCCGACGAGAATATTTCTTATCTAGTATCTGCAATGCGGCGACATTCTGCCACGGAGATTAAGAGATCGAACTTGCTTGCCGAGCTGACAAAATCGCAAACGCAGCAATCGGGCTCGGCGGAGCCGTCGAGGAATAATTCGCTTCTCTATCTAGTGGGACAATTGTTGCAAGGCGCAAGCACATTTCAAGAAGTCTTAGCACTTTTCTACGTTGCGAATATTCCCATGTCCAACTATTATCCCCAGCATCATCAATAATTTCCACATTTCATTTATGGAAAAAATAATAATTTATTTGGAATTTTATCGATAATTTATATACTACAAATTGAATACAATATTTATTTGGTGTATTATTATTATTCGAGTTACCCGTCTAATATTAGATAATAATACGAAGCTCAAATCAAATAACTCTATTTCCCATATCCGGATTGCACGTCTTAAAACCGGTCATTGTTCCTGCTTCGCATCTGAATAATCGGAATATCGTCCACTTTGGGATATATCCGCCATTTCCGACCATTCCTTTCATTTGATCAGCGTCCATGTCCTCACTACATGGGACCAGCAGCTTCTTGACGGGAACGTCAACATTGATCTGACAAAATTCACGAAACCAATCCGTCGACTTCTTCGGTGACATCCAAACAATCGCAATCCTCGCAATCAGCGTCCGATTCGTAGGTTCGAAGTCCAAACTCATAAAGAAGTTTCGTTGCCGCGTACGCTCTTTTCAACAAGATTGTTTGGTTTTACATAGCAGACTAGACTTTTTACGAGCTGAATGTTTTTTATTAGTGAACTAAGAAGGAAACTCACTAAGCATGGAGTTCTATTAGATATTTGACTTTTTAATTGCGCATTTTTGGACATACACTGATGCTTCTTTGGAGCGGTTGTCGCATCCGATCGCTTAATTAAATTAATAACTAGTCATAATGTAAAATCTTATAGCTGATTAATAATCACATCTCCATCGAGAAAAAGCAAAATGATAAAAATGTTGAAAACGAAATTCGAAAATATCGAGGCGTGGTAGCATTGTGCAATGCGGCACACTGTTTTGCAATGCTACGGCACACATCTTCTACGCGCGTCTTTGGTAAAGGTCCAAGTCTCTGCCGGGTTTTGTTACAAGAAATCAGATCGGTCATGTTCTTGATTCCATTGAACGCGGCCCAAGCTGCTCTTCTACTTTGGAAGATTTCCTTTACTAGCTCGTTTTTCTCAGGTAAAAAATCTAATAAAAGATTTTGAGATTCTTTGAGAAACTAACATGTCTCTATAATATTTTAGATTTTTCTCAATGCTCTTTAGAAATTAGAATTTATTGAGATAATTTAGAATTTGCTCAATAAATTTTCGAAAATTTCATAAGACTTTAACAAGTATTTTTTAGTTTATCGATTCTCAATACGTTTAAGAAGGTATCAATAAACTTTAGAATTTCTCAAAATATTTCATTTGATTTGCCTGTGAAGGTACACCTATTCGTCAACACTGTCAATGATGCTGGCCAAACTCTAGTGCGTTAGGGTAGCCTTGGCGGAGTCTGCTCAATTAGCGCGATAGTCAGTTTTCCTTTGGGGCCTGACTTTTGCGACATGTTGACACGAGTGGGATCCTTCACAAAAATATCTACGAATGTTTTCGGACCAAATTCTTCGCAACCCAACGGTTCGAAACAGCGACCACGTGGTATTTCAAAATGGCCAATAATTTTTTGCTCCCCTTTTCTTGCTCCCCCCCTGATTTTTGGCACCCACTTTTGTTGCTTCCAGTTTAATAATTTTTTGCTCCCATTTTTGTTGCTCCCCTTTTTTAAATAATTTTTTTTCTCCCATTTATAACACCCTTTTTAAAAAGGGTTTTTTTACTACTTTTAAATTTTTCCTTGAAATAGGAATTCACAATAGTCATTTTTGTATTTTGAAGGCTTACTCCAACCATTATAAAATTATCACAATTGCTTAATGGAAAATGTTGAATTAGAACAAAATTGGGCAAAATGGCGAAATAGGATATTTGCGAGTTGTAGCGATCCATCCATGGAGGCCACTGTAAAGTTAAACGAAAATCCGTAGTAAGTCAATTAGAATATATGATTTGACTTTGTTAGTAGTGTCCGTTAGTTTAATGAAAACAACAAAACACATTTTCTATTAGGCAACATATTTATTTAAAACATTTAATTATTGAATTATTTTTTAAACAATAAATTAATTGTTGAATTATTTCGATAGGTCATTTATACCGTAAAATCTGTATCAAAATGGTACTTCTAACAAAAAAAGCCTTCGAAAAACTTCTCAAAGTATAACGGTGTTCTGTTTTTTGAATATAACGTCTTTCCTGAAATTTGATGAGGAGTTATAAAAAGCTTCGAAAAATCGAAAATGATATAGTTTTCAAACAGGCTTAACGGTATAAACTTTAAAAAAAAAATTCCGCAATAAATAAATTAATAAAATTTCACTTATTGCGATATTCAATCCCGTTCCTTTCCTTATTCGCGCCCTTTGTGGTTTTTACTTCTTATAATTTGTGACTCTCTTCCTGCAAATAATTTCAGTTTAACACAATTTTTAAATTTCAAAAGAAAAATTGCGTACGGTTAATTACTTTTTGAAAGGGTATACTCATAGATTAAACTGAAATTTACCTTTGGAATATTTTGTTTTATAATACAGTTTTTATCCGGTAAAGTCCTCGATTTGCTCAATCTGTAAAATTTAATATGAAGAACTCGAGTAATTCTCACTAGTAATAAAAAACGTTAAAAACGACGAAGAATGTTGCGAAAGAACATTTTTTTATACAAAAATTATTATTTATTAAATTTAATAATGTTTCAATAAGTTTCGTGCGGTTAAAAACTTCAACGAAAGATTAAAAAAAGAAAAATATGCCAATACTCAGGCAAATCAAATAAAATATTTTGAGAATCAAATATTCAGTGATAAACTCTAAAATATTTTGAGAAATTCTAAAGTCTATTGATACATTCTAAAACTTATTGAGAATCAATAAATTTTAAAAATTTGGAATTTGTAAATTAAATCTTTTGAGAAAGTTAAATCTTTTGAGAAAGTATAAAGTATCTCAATATATTGTGAGACTTTAAAATTTGAATAGGGCCCTTATGACTTCCACTGACGCAATTTGCGGCGTCTCTTTTTAAGATCTCCTAAATTCCAATAAATAATTTATGTTTTTGATGTTCCTTCCGTTTTTTTTAGCTTTTTGTAATAGTTTCTTCACTTCAGTGATGGACGTATTCATGAAATGCAAGTTTTTATAATAAATGTTTAACACTACCTTAAATCTGCATTGTTTTACATGCTGAATTTGAAACAGTTGTGTCTAAACATGTCATTGCATGAACAGGTTCATGAATTTTAAAAATACGCACAATTATTACAATTAATTACAATTATACTTCAGTTTCTAATGATTTCGATATTTTAGAAGATCGGGAAAAGTGTGGAACAAACATTCCAGAAACATTGACCGATAGATTTAAGGAACGAGGTAAATACAGCAAATTCAATGAGCAGGTGCCCATGTGGATCACGGCCATGGATATTTTCCACCTTTTTCACGAGGGAACACGTATAATAAAAGGTACTTCAATTATGTCTCTCCTTTTTCAGCATTTAAAAATTGAAGATTGCTTTTTAGAAGTCTTCGTTAAAAACGAAATAAATATTTTTCGATGCAAAGCTATTGATGTGAAAGCGAGACTGCCATCTTCGGTAAAGTCGCTATCAGGAAAATTCAATGACATTAATAGGTCCGAAAAAGCTAGTGTAAGTTAATTTACCACTTGCAATTATCATCCTTTGAAGATTTTTGAAGTGAAAATTGTTTCTAACGCCATGAATGGGACCATCCCTCCGTTAGGTTCAGCTGTTGTGTTGCTTATACATGCCTGCTACCGATGGATGGCGTCACCGACTCGCTTAGTTACAAATACAACATTACCAAACAAAGTAATATGGGATCGTTAGCTATGTACATAATAGAAAATTTTTATTTCAGATCGCAGATATTTGCAAATTGTTAGAAATTCTAATTTGAGATGGGGCGCCTCAATTGTTTTCTGGTTCAAAAGTGCACGTAAGTCGTTTTTTTGCAATTTTAAGAGTTATTGAACGTTGTAGCATCATGCTATTGTCGTTGATATAAGAAATAATACTAATGATTACTGTATTTATTGTTTCAGCAACTTATATACCATTTGTACAGTAATGTCATGGTCAGCTGTCGGCAATAAGCACGCAAGCGCATGAGCACATTTATCACGTTATCAAGAGAAACATGTGCTCGGAACAGACAAACGGGATTGGATATAGTATTTTGAGAAAGTTAGACTCATTCAGTTATTTTTTAAAACTGGCAATTTTCAGCTATAAACTATATCACGAGATTGTGACTTCATTGAAAATTCGTTTCAACGCGAATCCGGATTTAATTAAGAAGTCATTTTATCGCAAAGAACTCATGAAATTAATCGAAAAACGACAAATTCAATCATCAAAATTTGTAAGTTCAACATTTTCTTTCAGTATATGCAACGAATTCCTTATAGCAACGTTGTGCGTCATTCGCAGAAAAAGGAGAAAATGCGAAAAGAATAAATTGATTCATTTATTTTTTTCTGATTTTTATTATTAATATATTCATTTCGCATTAATATTGTAATAAATGAAATGTTCATACATATTCAATTATTATGGCTGTTATTACATTCTATTTGTGTGAAAATTGCTCGATAACGTATGATATTACATAATATTGGACAGAGTTTATTGAGAACAATCTAAAATTTATTGATATATTCTAAAGTTTATTGAGACAAATCTAAAACTTATTGATAAACTTTAAAGTCTCACAATATTCATTGAAACTTATTGATAAATTCTAAAATCTTATGAGATTTCCTAAAGTTTATTGAGACAAATCTAAAATATTATAGAGACACGTTAGCCTCTCAACGAACCTCATAAGATTTTAGAATTGTCTCAAAATATTTTTTTTCATTTGCCTGAGTAATAAAATAAAAATATTCAGCGTACGGTATATCTGTGCAATTAGTCGTAGAATGTTTACGGACTACGTGTTTTCACCGAACATTTTTTTTTTAATTTTCGGCCTATTTTTCTTTTTAAAATAATTCTTTTATGTTTTTAACCCCACAAAACGTTTTCAAATATTAGTAAATTTAATAAGTAATAATATTTATATACACATCTCGTTCTTTCGCAACATTCTTCGTCGTTTTTAACGTTTTTTATTACTAGTGAGAATTACTCGAGTTCTTCATATTAAATTTTACAGATTGAGCAAATCGAGGACTTTACCGGATAAAAACTGTATTATAAAACAAAATATTCCAAAGGTAAATTTCAGTTTAATCTATGAGTATACCCTTTCAAAAAGTAATTAACCGTACGCAATTTTTCTTTTGAAATTTAAAAATTGTGTTAAACTGAAATTATTTGCAGGAAGAGAGTCACAAATTATAAGAAGTAAAAACCACAAAGGGCGCGAATAAGGAAAGGAACGGGATTGAATATCGCAATAAGTGAAATTTTATTAATTTATTTATTGCGGAATTTTTTTTTTTAAAGTTTATACCGTTAAGCCTGTTTGAAAACTATATCATTTTCGATTTTTCGAAGCTTTTTATAACTCCTCATCAAATTTCAGGAAAGACGTTATATTCAAAAAACAGAACACCGTTATACTTTGAGAAGTTTTTCGAAGGCTTTTTTTGTTAGAAGTACCATTTTGATACAGATTTTACGGTATAAATGACCTATCGAAATAATTCAACAATTAATTTATTGTTTAAAAAATAATTCAATAATTAAATGTTTTAAATAAATATGTTGCCTAATAGAAAATGTGTTTTGTTGTTTTCATTAAACTAACGGACACTACTAACAAAGTCAAATCATATATTCTAATTGACTTACTACGGATTTTCGTTTAACTTTACAGTGGCCTCCATGGATGGATCGCTACAACTCGCAAATATCCTATTTCGCCATTTTGCCCAATTTTGTTCTAATTCAACATTTTCCATTAAGCAATTGTGATAATTTTATAATGGTTGGAGTAAGCCTTCAATATACAAAAATGACTATTGTGAATTCCTATTTCAAGGAAAAATTTAAAAGTAGTAAAAAACCCTTTTTAAAAAGGGTGTTAAAAATGGGAGCAAAAAATTATTTAAAAAAGGGGAGCAACAAAAATGGGAGCAAAAAATTATTAAACTGGAAGCAACAAAAGTGGGTGCCAAAAATCAGGGGGGGAGCAAGAAAAGGGGAGCAAAAAATTATTGGCCTTTCAAAATGATTCAAAAGGGGAAAATAAGGACCACTGTAGGTTCTCAAAGCCACACAACAATTTTTATGCACACTGGTCCCGCCAAAGTTTCAAAAAAAGCGAAAAAGTCCGTTTTATGGGGGTGGCTTTATAATTTTGCACCGTTTGAAAAAACGGTATTGGACCACTGCGCTTTTATTTTTTAAGATACTAACACGAAATTTGGTACGTATAGGTTATTTTTTATGCTGAACACGATTTTAACACTGGTTGGTCTCAAAGTATCGAAATCATTGCGCGGCGTTCAAATTTGGGGGTGGCCTTATAATTCTGCAACGCACAGTATATTGTAGTACGTAATCTCTAATCAAAGTGAGAAACAGTTATTGTTGAAAAATGACAAATGTATCCAGGTGTCGTGGGATCCTGCGTTTTGTACGCAATGCGATGAGCCAGTTACAGTAATCCTCGCAGCGATTTACGAGGGACTTTTTTAAATTTCGTATTTTCATTTTTTTTATTTATCGCTCAATTTTCGTATTTCTTTCGAAATTGTTTATTTAAAATCTGCAGAACCCGATTTTAATTATTTATTTTGCAGAATATGCACCTTTCTATTTTTTCTCGATCTAAAAATTATTTTGAAATGATGAATACAAAAAGAAGGTAGTAGGAACGCGTATTAAAAGCAAAACACAAATAAATAATTTTATTAACGACAGAAAAATGTTTTTTTGATCTATGCTGTTTTTTAAAATCGATAAATTTCGCTTAAACGTGAATATTCTGCAAAATATATAATTTAATTCGGGTTCTACAAATTTTAAATGGCCCATCGCATTGCGTACAAAACGCAGGATCCCACGACACTTGGATACATTTGTCATTTCTCAATAATAACTGAATTAACATAAATCGAACATAATTGTGAGTGTGATAATGTAAGTAACATAATTCAATCAAATTTTCAAACTTTCATTGTTTATATGATAAATATCATATGTTTATTTTATTGCTCTTGATGGAATTTGTCTTGGTCTGCCGTCTAGACGCCAACTACATATTATGTAATCATGTATGTATGATATATGATTATTCCATCCATATTCATTCCACGGCTCGCAAACAGATTTGCCAAAATGCTTCCATTACGCGCTTAATCAGTAATGATGGTACGTGCCACACATCGCAGCATTTCTTAAGCGGCAAACAACTGGTTAATAAATAATAATTTATGAATAAATATTTGTACAATTTTGTGAGAGAATGGTATATTCAAAACTGAGTTCTCAGTTTGAGCTAGTAGAATTAGCAGCCGAAGGAACCAGCGAGATGCTAATTTTGATTGGTTGCGATGATGGAGAAATTGACGTATTCGAAGGTGCCGCTTGTTGGGCGGACGGGGTAAATAATTGAGCAGAATTTCGTTGCACCTACAATTTTTTCGATATTATAGATGATTGTCAAATAATGTAAGATACCTGAGGGCTGGTGCACGCGTTCTCACATTGCGGAGCACATCTGTCAAGGCAGGAAGCCGGAGCTGTCGATTTCTGTGTAACGCAAGCCATTTGGCAGACCGATTGGCATTCCGAAGAGCACCTGAAAAGAAGTCCAAGTGCAATGAACAATGAATAGGATTTCGATGAGTACCTTTGTTGAGGATCGAGAAGGACTGGATATGTCGATGGAGCTAGCGTAGTTGGCTGTGAATCCACCACTGGAGCACACACCTTCAAAAAGCAAAAATAAAAAAGGATTGGTTTGATTTTCGACTTCTGTGCACGTGTTTTTGCAACTTGTATCGCATCCTTCTTGTGGTTGAGGACTCCTTTGAACACACGAATTTGTGCAGCCCGTTCTACATTGATCCATACAAGATGGTTTAACAGTGAGAACTTGCGCTGGAGCTTGCTGAGATTGAACTTTGTTGGCCTGTGATTGTACGGCTTGCGATTGCATTGACTGAACATGATACTGAGTAGGTTGTCCTTGAGCAGTAGTTGTAGTTGATGGCGATTGAAGCAGAGGAATCTGATCAGCAGTTAACGGTTGCTGGTACACTTGTTGTTGAGCTGGTTGCGGCGGCTGCTGAGTTGAAGGTGTTTGAGCCTGAGGTTGAGCTTTTTGCTCTGACTGTTGCTGCTGCGGCTGCTGCTGCTGCGAGCCTCGCGCTGTTGACTGGGTGGGATTCTGTACATTGATGTTAATTCTGATAGGGGAAGAAGAGCTCCTCGGAGCTGTAGTAGACGTGACTACCTGCAAGCAATCATGGTGTCCCTTAACAACATGCCAATTTTTGGTCCTACACTTTGATTCGGATTAAACTGTGATTGCTGTTGTGGACACATGCTGCTACAAGTGTTCGTGCAAGTAGAATCGCAAGTCGCTTGAGTCAATTGGGGTGAGCACAATGATTTGCAGGCATCATTGCAGCTCACGAAGCATTTGGTTCCCGGATCCACTTGAATATTCACCTAGAAATGGGCAACAACAACGTTTTTTTTTGACATTTTGATAGGTGTGGTTCACATTGAGTTTCGTTGGTGTGCTCGGCGACGATTGGCAGACCCTTGAGCATGATTGTCCACAAGAGCTGGAGCACTGATTCGAACCATATTGCTTTTGTTGACAGGCGTTTGTACACTGAAATAAGAACGGGAGGTTTTGAGGGCAGAAAAAAAATGAGGTAAATAAACCTGGGAATTGCAGTCCGACAAGCAGTTGGCTCCGGCGACCGCACGGACTACCGTGTTTTGAACTGGCGGAGATGCCAACGGACTGGAAAATGAAACGGTTTTAATGATTGAAACGATTATTTTACGTTGTGATTTTGTTGCACGCGTTGACGCACGAATTCTGGCAATTCATTTGGCAGGCAAATGAGTTGCCATTCGCTCGACAACTGGGACGGCAAGTGGAACGGCATGAAGAAGCACACGAGTTTTGCTGGCACCCGCATGATTGGCGACTACTGAACTCATTTCATTTATAAACGGAATAATGTTAGAGTCAACCTAATTTGGGCACATGAGCAAACTTTTTGGGAAATGGATGGAGAGCAACTGCACGCCATCCGAGGCTGTACCGAACAAGGGCATTGTCGTTTGGTTCTCTGCTTAGTTTCTAACTAAACAAAATCATTTTGCGATAAAATAAGGTGAAAATAATAGATGATTAAAATGTGAATACGATTGATGTTAGAAAAAAATAGTACTTAAATTTAAAAAAATTTCAAAATAATATTACCTTTGAAAATAATAATACAAATATTAGAAGAATTTGAAGAGGTCTCATGTGTGCCATCGGATGTTGGATGCCAAGAATGACTCAATCCGTCTTCTGCTTCTCGTAAATATTGTTGTTATTCGTCGAAGAGTGGGCGTGGAGACTTCCGAGGCTCGCCAGTGTTTGCTCATCGCACCGTTGTGGAGGCCGCGTTTTTCGGACGTTGAGAAACCGCGCCGCCGTCCGGCCGACGAAACCCCCCCCCCCCTCTCGTCTCACCATCCATCGAATTCAGGTCTTTTGCAATTGATATTTGATAATACTAATCGCATTTATTGATAAGCGGCGGCTCGTGGGGCGCGAAAAAATATCTTCGAAACGATTGTCTCGATTGTCGACTCCTCTCCGATTAGCGCACTCGAAACCATCGGCGAATTGCAAGACGGAAATTGGAAAGTTTGGCAATCGGATTTCGTCGCAACTTTTTTTTTTTGTTTCCAGCAGAGTAATAATCTCATGGATAATATCCAGTTGTTTTGGTGTTTGCCAAAATATTTCCTGGAACAATTCGATTTTACAAATGGTTTAATACCACCCTTGAACATGAAAATGTTTTTGAAAAATTCATCTGACGTTTTACCTTGAAGCGTGATCTTATCTCAAAACTGCATTTTTGTGTTTAAAAATCGAAGAAAATCTCCCTCAGCCTTCAGAAAGAATGTTTGAACACCTAATAAAACAGCTTTTGAAGTAAAATCGAATGGTGATGGCGAAAAATTAAAACGCGAAGATGAGAAGACGGCTAAATTCAACTTGTGTAATGAGTTTCGTCATACTTCTCAAAAGAAATTGCTAACATTGTTAAAAGTTCAAAAAATAATTGTTTAAACTCTGGAATTTCGAATTTTCGGGATTGGAAGAAATTCCTGCGTCTCTCAAAATCACACTGGACTCCCAACAGCACAATTTCAGAGTTTAAACAATTATTTTTTGTACTTGAAGATTCTGGCAATTCGTTATGGAATCGATTCACGGATACGATTTCAGTCAACCCGAAATCTACCAGAAAGCATTACAGTACTCAATTTTCATTTCAAGACTTTTCAATTTAAAAATTACCTGAAATTTAATTTTAAAAAATGATCACATTCATTTTTAAATGAGGGATTTCGTTACTAATTCGCTTCAAATCGCATTCGACAATTTTCAGTTCCGAATTTGGCAGATTTCGGTTTGACTAAAATCATATTCGAGCATTCGTGAATCAATTCCATATCGAACTGCCAGAATCTTCATGTTGTCGATAAATCAATGGAATCAAATCGAATAAGCCAAGGCGTTCTCCGCATATCGTTTTGTTTGTTTTCCGATATTCATCGCGATAATTCATGCGCCTCATAAAATAAGGGATTTTTTGCAGTGTGTGTTACACCTGCGCGAACACGCTTAGCAAAACATCAAGATATGCATAGACGGGAACCACTAGGCGCTTCCTAAAAAAAAATGGGCAAACCTCCAGGAAATGCCGATATCGACGCGATTATCATTAAATCGGGCATGATGTAATGAAAGCGAGGCAGCAGCAGCAGCAGCAGCTTTAAAAAAAAAGTAGTCGGTTTTGCGTAAACTGGATAACTTCAACAACACTTCCTTTGCCACATTAGTTGCGTAATCATAGAGAACTTTATGATACAGACATAACGAAAGACATGGAAAGTAGAATGAAACAATTGCGATGATTGTCGATGGAAATTAATATCCTGGAGCGGTTCTTGGTGGTGGGCAGTGATCGCAGCCGCCTCCCTCTCCTGGCTGTCCGGCCTCTCCCTGCTCTCCTGGGGCTCCTGGCTGTCCTGGGGCTCCGTCGGATCCGGCGTCTCCGGCTGGTCCCTCTGGTCCGTCTTGTCCTGGCTGTCCGTCGTTTCCTGGCTGTCCGTCTGGTCCTGGGGCTCCGGCTGGTCCTGGTGGTCCTGGTGGGCCTGGTGGGACGGCGACCTCCTCGACAACACCTGGCTGTCCGTCTTGTCCTGGCTGTCCTGGCTGTCCCTCCTCTCCTGGGGGGCCTTTTGGGGCCCCCCCCCCCCGGGGCCCCGGGGGGCCCGGGGGTGGCCCGTTTTCCGGGGGGCCCGGGGGTTTCTTTGTGCCCCTTTGCCCGGGGGGGGGGGGGGGGGGGGGGGGGGGGGGGGGGGGGGAAAAAAAAAAAAAAGAGGAGGGGGGGGGGGTGGGGGGGGGGGGTTTGGTCTGGCCCCCCCTCCCCCCCCCGCTTCCTCCTTTTCTTCTTCTTCCCCCCCCTTTCGGGGGGGGGGGGGGGGGGCGGCCGGCCCCCCCCCGCCCGAAAACCCCCCCCCCCCCCCCCCCCTCCCCCCCCCCCCCCCCCCCACCCCCCCCTTTCAAAGCCAACATTGCGCTTGTGCTGATTCTCCCTTGATGCTGTTGTACTGCTCGAACAGCCCATTGGTGCGATGAATACAGAAATCGACTTCAGTTTGAAGAGTGGATTGAACATGTTGCATGTAATTGTAGAGAGAAGGAATTGCAACAATAGCGGTGAGAGTTGCAATCGTACTAAAAATGGGAAATCGAAATTTGAAAAATCGAATCGAGTCAGCTACCTTATGCAAATACCGAAGAAGGCAATCTTGCGAAGGCCTTCGGCTTCTTGAATAAGCTTCTTCTCGTCGTGCTGCTGGTACATGTTCGAATGTCTTCGACAACGCCGCCCGTGCGCCTTTTATACCGTCGGGTTTAAACTGACTAAACGAGCAGGTCAGTGAGATTTGACAGCAAAAAACGCGGCGTTAAACAGTTCACACCAAATAAGGGGGCGTGCCGTGGCGGAAAGCAAGGCTGCCAAGTTGCGAAGTCGGCCGTTTTTTTTGTTGTTCATTCGTCGCCTTTCAAAGATGGTATCGTTTCGGCTAACGGCTTTTCCAGCGCCTCATATTCGATAGGCATCTAAACAACACATATGAGGTTTAAACTAACCAAGGTTAACCAAATTTTTTTTTCATCAAACTTCAAACATTCCTGCTTCGTCTCGAAAAGCTCAAACATCTTTTGATTGTAAAACTTTTGGAAAAATGGTTTTGTTGGAGATTTATTGTCACCTTGTCGAAACGTGTTCTTCCGCAGGCGGCAAAAAACACTGTAACCGAGACTTCCTACAATATTGCCTATTCTAGCGGTGCGACGGCGAAGAATTTTTGCAGAATTTTCAAAATCTGAAAAATATCAAGATATTGGGATCTGACAAGACGAACATTTGGGGAATAGAATTGCAGAATGAATCTGTCAGAAGTCTTCTTTCAAAAAATTGCAAAGAAAATTGGAAAATGAAAAAACGGGAAATTCAAAAGTGAAAAAAAAAACACACACACATTTCCAAAGCGCTGCACCCAAGAAGTTCAAAAACCTAAATAATTATTTAACGTCATTAAAATTGCATTAAATTAATCATTTCCCATTTATTTAATAATGTTTAATCAAATATTGTTAGTCATTTTATTCATTACAAATTCTTTGGAAACTATTTCGAATCGATCGGCATGCAATTCAACATTCGATTTGCGATTGCACACTGACAAATTGGCATATATGTCACGGACCTTCACCATTGTTTACGATGAAAAACTCAAGGTTCTTTTTTTCACACAATTAAAAAAATATATTAAAATAGATATAATTTAATGGTTAAAAAAATCAAAGTGTAAATTAAGATAATAAAAAGTTGAAATTCTTCAGAAGTACTGACTATAGTATACTATAATATTGAAATCTTAATAATTACTATTCTGCGAATGAATAGTTTTCTTGATAGACTGGGGCATTTTCAATGGCGTACCTATTCTTCAAAAAAGTGCAATACAGCGACATTTCAACTTGTCATTTTCTTAATAATATGTGCTCTTTGAAAAATGTGCCCAAAAACATGGAATTTCAGAATGTCGCTGATTTAATTGCGTGCCAAGTGAAACCATTCGTGAAAAAGGTGATTCTGATGCAATGGAAATACTCGAGCCCAACATTGGAAGATATTTGCGAAGCATATAGCCCTAAACTCGTTCTTCCTGCTTATATGGCCACCGTGACTCGAGAAACTGTTATAACAAAACCTTGCCAATCAAATTACCAACTGAACATGATCCAGACACCAAAAAAGGTGTGGGCAGCTTCTGTAAGTGGTCCGAATACAAAAGTAATAGTTCCACTTGGCGGTGGCGGTAATATTCATTCATATTTTATAATTATAATTTTTATATTTAGAGAAGTCTAGTGTTGATTACTTGACACGCGATGGTCTCGATTTAGCATTGAATTTGTTATTTTTCGCGACGGCATATCGTCTTTCCGATGGTGCAGAATTTAAAAATCTGGAAGAAGCAGAGCATGTACGGGTAATTAATTCGACAAATTACATTTTTAATAGTCGTACATTTATTTTAGCTTGTCGTTTTTGTCGAAAAGCATGAGCTTGAAGAGCTGCAGACATTCATTGCCCAAAAGCTGTTTCGGGTATTTATCGTTAAGCATTGTTCCTTTGTATGGCTTAACGGTTATAGGTTGATGGAATTATCTGTGACGAACAGACCCGCATCGTGCTTATTGAGAAGCTGATGAATGCACAAGAATACCCAACGATATCACAAGAAGATCTTGCTAGACGTTATGGGTATTCGATAAGAATTCTCCGTCAATCTAAAACCCATCATTTTTTAGATCAGCAATGGCAGGTTGGCTTCAAGATCGTCTGGTACCAGCAATGTCAGATTGCAGTTCTGTTCTACAGCGAGCAGCTTCAGAATTCTATAAACTTAAAACAGTACGACTTTTTTTTCGATGTTCAAAAAATTGTGACATTTTTTACAGCAAGATCCTCTATGTAATTGGGGCCAAATGAACAGCGAGCATGTCTCGATGGTGGCCGAGCGGATAGAAAAGTTTAGTGACGAAATGGCGTCGAAAGTGAAATGGTCCCTTCTTGTTGAGCCCGGAAAATTCAGCTGTCATTTAACTGTACATTTTCTTAATCGCTAATCCGGTAGAACTTGTGATATTTCTAGGAATTTGTGCAAGAGTATCGGCGTTTGGAACGAATTTTCATCGATCTGGAACTCTCGCCGGAAGAGTTGTCGCAAACCGCTTTCAACGCCAATTATTTGACAAAGGCGAGAAGTAAAATGGTACCATGTGTCGATTATTCGAGAGTAGTTCTCAATGATGGGCTAGGTCATCTCGATGATCGGGAAGCTTTGATTAATGGAATGTTCGAAGGGGAGCACGAGTTTGAGCATGCAACTCCTAACACATAGTAACCAATTATATTATTATTATTATTATTTGCTTCTTATATTCGCACATTTCCAGTGGAACCACAGATTTCATCCATGCAAATTACGTGCGCGGCGGACCTCTTCTAAACACATTTATTTGTGCCCAGGCTCCATTAAAAAACACACAGGAAGATTTTTGGCGAATGGTTTTCCAAGAGAAGAGTCAACTCATTGTGATGCTCAATTCGGCTGTTGATGTGTCAACACTCGGACCATTGGATTCGGCAAACCGAAATTATTGCCCTTATTATTGGCCAAAGTAAAAAGGTTTTCAAAATGAAAATTGAAAAAAAAAATGAATTGTAGATGTGAAAAAGAGGAACTCAGGTTTGGACCATTTATTATCAAATGCTTAAGTGTCGATTGCAAAGCGGATCCATTGTTCACGATAACAAAATTGGTAATTAGTAGTGAAATGGTTGGCATCGCGTTTTAAATGGCGTTTTCAGAAAATCATTAAAGTAACGAACGATTTTGACGACGAAGATGATGAGCTCGTGCTAGAACATTGGCAATGGGATTGGCAGTACCTTGGAGATGTTCATTGGCCATTCAGAGTGCTTAGAAAGTTTGTAGAAAAAAAGCGATAAAAATGTTTGGTAGATTTGAAAATTTTTTAGAGCACGATTACTAAAAACACCGACGATTATTCAGTGTCTGGATGGTTGCGGAAAAGCGGGAACTTTGGTCGCAATTGAAGCTGCTTTAATGCATTTTGTTCGAGGTAGAAACTTCAATTTTTCGACGAAAAAAACGTCGATTCTCCGAGAATTCTAGGTTCGCCAGTTTGCAAATCGCTGATTCTGCAATCGTGCGTATTCGTCCGAATGCAGCGCCGCTTGTCGGTCTCATCAGTCCTTCTCTATCTGTTCATTTATCGCGTTGTGCTTCGCTGGATTGAACCGTACGTGTCGAAATGGTACCAGCGAGTCGCGCTCGGTCTCCGATTCCCCTCAATCGGATTCATCGAAAAATTCAACTCGATGTCACAAGAACTCACTCGAATCACACCGCCTTATTAACACAATAGTGTACATTATATTTGCACGAACATTTAAAATGTTATATTTTTATTATTTTGATTTTTTTTTGTTTTTGTTTTTCTTCGTTGGATTTTCATTGTAAATGAGATGAGGTCAGGCGATTTGTAAATATAAAATACGACTAGAAATCTGACGAATTGCATTTAAAATAAACTGTGATTTTTAAACGAAGCGACAAAATAATGGAATGGAATTTTCTATTATTGATTTGTGCAAAAAAATTGTTTGAATTTTATAAGTGAATAGGAATAATTATCAATCAGATGAGAGAAATTTCGATTTTTCTGTTATTATTATTCCGGCGTATTCCGAAGCCGATTTCTGTCAGATCCGACTGGTACTGATTTGGGCTTCCGAAGATAAGCCGAAATTTTCTTACGCGTAAGCGAAAGTACGTAATCCCGAAAATCCCGTGCGTTTGTGTAAGTCACGTAACGCTCAACATTAATGGAAATCGTAGCTGAATTACCGCATTACCATAACGAAAAACTGGATGTTTACAGACGTGAATATTTTTTTTCGAAGCGGTAATTCAAATTTCGATTAATCTATAATTATTTTTTTTCTGAAAACAGCATCCATCAGCGTGAGCTGCTGTGAGTCTCCGCTTCAAGAACAAATCTAGTTTTCTTTTGCACAATCTTCATATGGTTTTTAGAGGTTTTCAATAGTTTTTTTTTTTAATCCGTTTTGTGTTTTTTATTGAATCACACATTTTCAGGTGCTTCATGATGTGCTAAACGATAAAAGAGACTACGTTTCCACAAAGCAAAAAAAAGAGGTAAAATTTGCTGAAATATGCGATTTTTTCTGAAAAGCGGAAATTTTAAAAGCAATTTTTTAAACATTAAGGTCTGCATGCAGAATTTGGAATTATCTGAAAAACGGACAGTTAAAAACGCCCAACGTTTAAATTATCTGAAAAATGGGTGATTTTAAATGAAAAATTTTATTTGATTGCGATTTTCCCCGAAAGATTCGTCAAGTTATTCTGCTTAAGATTGTTTCAATACTCCGATTCCTATGTGTCCAACTGATCTATTGAAGATCCCGTCGTTTAACGTGTGAAAATATGGCCGACTGTTCAAAATCGCTCGTTTACCACCACACCCTAAGAAGGAAATTGAAGAGGGATTAGAGAAATGAAAAAGGCGTTGCAACCAGCATTGCGCACAGTTTTTCGTTCATTTCAAACTAAAATCGTCGTTTTTTTTTTCGTTTCAAAACTGCCGTTTTCGCTCATTTTTTACCAAAAACAAAACCAAAACAAGAAAAAAACTCGAGTTTGGTTGTGGCGCGGCGAAATGTGATCTTGTCATTATTTGCTCTTTTCCCTTCTCGACAAACAATCGCGTTAAAAAAAAACTTTTCTTTCTTTCAAGCACTTTTTCGATGCTTCAATGGATACCGAATTGGCAGAAAAGTTAACGGTTTGTTGTGATTTTTTTAGAATAATTATTGAGAATTTTTAAAGGCACATGAGAAGCTTCTCGCCGATGTGACAAACACATTCTGGATATTCTTCGTGTTCTATGTTGTCGCTTCTTTGGCATGGATTGCAATATGTTTTTGCAATTATCAAAGGTTCAAATTCCATTCTATCTTGAAATTAATAATTGCGAATTTCAGAGAAATTCGAAATGTTGAGAAGAAGATCCATGAGAACGAAATCGCCCGATCATTAGAATTAGAGTAAGAATTTTTAAATCAATGTTTAGACCAAAAATTTGAAAAATTCTCATTTTTCAAGAAACGAATTTCAGTTTTTAATGATTTCAAGTACTTATAAGCACACCTAATCGCTTTGGGACCTAATCGTACAGGTAGCATTTCAAGGGATCAAAAAACATGTGAATGTTTACTTTACCATTGAAAAGTCAGTATCTTCGAGAAATCTTATTGTTCCCTGTAAATAAAAATGGGCGTGGCCTATAATTTAAATTATTCTGGCTAAATTAGCAAAAAAAAAATTGTAAGTTGCCAATCAATTTCGATTTTTTAAAAATATTTTTAATATCGCGCCATAAATGAGTTTTCACATTTTTTACAAAACGATAATTTCTGCAACCCCCCGGTTTTATTTTCTTTTCTCCAAAAATGGTTGCCATGATGTTGTGTGTCCTTTTTTTTCGAAAACATGTTGATAAAAACCGGTTGCAAAATGTGCTTGTTTATATTTGTTGTTGCCTTTTTTTTGTCAAGAACTTCGCCGATTCGAAAACGGAAATTTCAGACGCCTTCTCGAAGCCTACAATCGTGTCAACGTCGTGTGATTTCGATTTCGCTTTTCGTCGCCACCTCCATTTTTTTGTTGCGGTCATCATCAACATCATCGCTATCGCTATCGTCGTCGTCACCGCCCGTTTTTATCCGGTCGACGCCGATCCATTGACCTCGATTCGTTGTTTTCTTCATTTTCGCCCATTTCATTTCACCGTGTTTTCTCTCTCGTCGGCCGCCGCTCGTCATGCTCAAGCATCTGATTGTTGTGTTCCTCGCGCTCGTCGTCATCACGGACGCCTTCGACAAATTTTCGTTGAGCAAGGACAAGAACACAAGAGCCAATATTAAGGTGGGTTGTAGTTATTTTAATTAGCCTAAGAGGTTGTCGTATGTGTTTGAAAATCGAGCTGCAGACATTATTCGGGGTTGCGATTCAGACTGTCTGAAATCTCATTTTTGCACAAATTCAGAATACATGATTTCTTTTCAGGAAAGAGAAGAAAATAGAGATTTGAAAGGAATTTCTTGGCGCTTTTTTTTGAGCCTTTTCCGTTCACATAGATCATATTTGATTTCCCTAAATGATATTTCAATTAACTTCCAAATTTGGTGAATATCACACGCTCATTCGTCATGTGATATTTTGATGGATGTGCTAGCGATTGAATGACCCAGCCCGAACCAAAACGTGTTCGAATCGAGAGTTTGGCGATTCGAAAAGGGAAACGAACGGCTTTTCGCCGAAAACGGTGTAAAAAACAATCGTAATATGAAATCATCATACTTCCGCGATTAATCAAAGCAATTAGGCTAATTTAGCAATTCGGTAATTAACTGAAATGAATCGATAAACGTCCGCAGCATTATTGAGCTAAATCAATCGCTAATCCTTTAATAGCTTTAATCCTTTTTGAATATACGAAACATGCAACGTTGTTTCTCTAATTTATGATTCGCAGGTTATCCCTAGTACGATATCAGATTTTCCACTTTTTTGAATTGCCGCGCTAAAGCCATTCCGCAAACACTCAGCTTCTTTTTTGTGAAAATCCCAAAACTTGATAGCAAAGTTAGGCCACGGCCACAACAAATTCGATCGAAGAATGATTCGATGATTTTCATTTTCAGCACCCAATCTCTCGTCGTGTCCTTCGCTACGAGCGTTCGGCGAGTTTCGGCGATTTTCCAACTCCAGCCGAAATGCCGCTTTTCGTGCCATCTCTCGACTTTGCCAAAGTCCGACCGTAAGGCGATTGTGATCAAAAAGATAACACAAGATTTATTTTTTCAGAAATATTCCATCAAAGACCAAACCAAATCAGATCTTCGACTCGGATTACATGCCAGAAATCGATTTCTAAACAACAATAATAACAATATGTACATAGGGTATTCGGGTATTTGAGAAATAAATTTTATGATTATTATTATTATTATTATTATTTGAATTCGCGCGCTTCTTCCTCTTCAGTAGTATGTAAAAAGTCGACGCTGGTGCACCTTTTTGCCCAAACTCGATTTTTACACTTTTTCACTATTTTAATGCAATAAATCATCAAAAATCATGCTTAACATATAAAAATCTATCATTTCTGAATAATGAACATTTTTGGGCTAGCTCACCTTCTGCCCATTCTGCCCACTTGCCACGGCTCACGAAAAACTACAAAAAGAAGTCTTGCGGAAATTATCGAAACGCAAAACTAGGCGCTCCCATGCCAATCAGAAGTATGATGTCTTCTTCACAAACTTGTGAATCTAGAGAGTGCGCATTTTTGTTTGTAATCATCGGGAAATGAAAAAAATTAAAAAAATCAATTTTTTTCATTTAAAATTCCTATGCACGCATGTCAAAAATTACAAAAAAATTGACGCGATATATCGTAATTCTCCGCTTTTTATTTTCAAAGGCGCACGCGAAAAGTTGCGCGGGTCACGTCGCGAAGTCGGTACTGTAATTTTTATTTTTCATTTTATGTGCTAGTTTTTCGTATTTTTTAAAATCTTCGAAGAGAAAATGACGAACGGATTTAAGAACGAGTAAAAACAATTATTATTGGTATAATTACTCCTAATTCGACAATATAAGTCTATTTTTCGCCATTAAGATGCCAATTATTATGAAAAATAGCGATATTTGTGATAATTTGATGCAGACTTCGCTCGATTACGCTTCTGATGAATTTTTAACGTTGATTATGGAAGTTGCTATTTGAATATACATATTAATTGACTCAAATGTGTATCCATGTCTGTTAGGTAAACAATGAAGCACAAAGAGAAGACGTTAAATTTCAAAATGACGCTGAAATTACTTTGCGGACTTGTGCATTTTATTTGACGACTTCTATTATATTTTAATGATTTTGAGGTTACCTCTCGTCCCTTGCCTGAAGCATATTGGAAAACTCTGAATTGATCCACTCGGATTCTAAAAATAAAGCATTGTCAAAAAGCGAATTTCTCTGTTTGGAAGCTGTAAAGAGGCATTAAGTAAAAATGGATTCCATTCCTTTCCGCATTCCTGCGCATTCCATTGCATCTAGAAATCAAGACTGACCACATCGTTGATCTTGATCACCAGTCGTTAAGCGACAATTCTCCGAATGCCAGCATAATTCGAGTAAAACATATCATTTGAAATTTGCGAAATTCGACTTGCCAAATATGGTCGGTCATTCCAATAAAATCAAATCACCATTTGTGAGGCAAGGTCGCGAAAACATCGTCATTTCTATCGAATCTATCCGTTACTGCCAACTTTTGCTCGACCAATAATCAAAACAGCTCCCTACCGACAACCAACGATCACCTCTCAATTGTTTCGTCTATATTTGGCATCGGGGGAATCCCGCGAATTCGAATTCGAAATTTGCATAATATTCAATGCGACTAATCGCCGACACGTGTACAGTCAACTCATAGCTTATGCATTGTCACGTGGCAATCAATTAGCATTCGAAAAAAATACAAAAATCGGCGAGATGCTTCAAAAATGTTTTTTTTGTTCTAATGTGACCAACGAGTTGATCGTACTCTCGGTTCATCTAGATTAATCGTTTCATTATAATCGGTGTCACGTTTTTTTCCCCACTCTGTCTTCTCTCTTTTTTCAAACATTAATCGGTTTAGACTTCAGTTTTAGTACCGGCGATTTTCGAAATCCATTCCAATTTTTTTTTCGGTTTCGCCGTTCTCTGAATATCCAACCCCGAAAGTTGACCACAGATCGGAATTTTAAATAAAGTTATGCCAATTTGTTTTTAAAATCATCGCAAAAAAGCGTGCTCTTGTGGGTTCGTTTGATTTTGAATTATGGCTCCAAAAATAGACGATGGTCCGTAAACATCTAATAGTACCGATTTTTCCATGGTAATGTTTTACCAACAATTTTTCAGCAATATTTAATTCACAAAAAACATTTCTAAAAACATGAGATCAAGTTTAAAGGCGCATGCCGACCACAAAAACGAAAATTGATTTGATGTTTAAAGTAAAATTCGAAGCCAATGTCCCAAAAATGGCTACTTAAGATGTAATCGTTATGAGACATTTCCTTTAGCAAACTTCCCGATCAGGAAGCGATGCGTCCTTATAAGGTGAGAATGTTGGTTAGTCGCTGAATCGCGTTCAAACATTTGATCAGCTTGGTTGGGAATTCATCCTACTCAAAATTGTTCTGAAATAGCGGCGATTGGTGATGATCTCTTTCGCAAGCATCATCTTCTCGTCTTCAATTCTATTTTTTGTCATCATCGTCTTCTTTAATTATTGTACTTTCACGTGACTTTCAAATTTCCCGCCTTTTTCCGACTACGCATTGTATTCATTATAGTATGTTCTGTCCGAGAGAGTTCGACTATACTCTACATAGTTAAACGCACCCCAACAGGTTTTATTTTTGGACGCCCCGATTTTTCCTGTGTTGCACGTTAGACAATACAAGTCCAACCAAATCCTTATAATCACTGATATCAGCTGCCGACAATTTTGCGGGCCGCAATTTGATTGATTTTTACCTCGGATGATCCAATTAGTTGAACTCGTGACTGTCACCCAAAATTTTCAAGTTTTTGTCAGCGACAGCATCCTAAACAAGAAAAATTAACGCTGCTTTCTGTTTTTTTTTCGCGTCTCGACTTTCCTATGAGCAACATCGCGACAAAGACCCCTTCAGATTTCTCTATGCGCCTTTAATATACATATCTCATTGTGTTTCGTTTTTCTCTTCTTTTACTTGCCGATTGTTGTTTTCTCGTTTCGCACGTTTTGTGGTCGATGTCCCCCGACATTACCAAACAGAATCACCACAATGAGAATGGCAATCGGAAATAAAACATCTCTGGTGAATGGTTAGTAATCGTATAAGACCACATCTCCCTTTAAAAGCGGCTAAGTTCGAGTGCGATTTCACCGTATACGATTGTAAATTTTTCGCATCGAGACCATTAGCGGCTTCACAAATGGTGCTCGTTTTTTTTTTGAGATGGTATACAAAGCAAACAGAAAAATTTGGAACTATTTTTTTTTGGAAAGCAGAACACAAAATTTATGGATTTGCATTAGTTCGAATTTCTAGAAGAATAGGAATGAATATGAAACATAGAGCCTATACGATAGTTGGTCTCGAGAAGAAAACGAATCTCGCAAGTGACTGAGGACATCTATATATAGCTAATACCAATTGATCAAAAACGCCGATTTGATCGGTGAACTTGCGGTTTCTTGTGACGCACTAATGAATTGGTCGGTTTGTCAAAATCAAGTCCATTTGAATCACACCTTAAATTCAGTTTGATGTCCTTGAATTTTTGTCTTCTTCTTCTTCTTCATTTTGTTCTCGATTCGCACCCATTTAAAATGGTTTGTTTCAGAAATGCCACAAAATTCAATGTTCTCATCGATGCCGAATCGAAAGGTATGCAAGTTTTTGTGATACGAAGAAAAGAGAAAAAGAAACGAACACTATCAATAACAATCTGAAATCACGTTTTTTCCCGCCGTCGACAACTGACCTCCTGACCATTGTTATTGTCTATATAAGGTGTTGCTAGCCGCCCACCGGAATGTTCTTTCTACACTATCCAAGCACTTCGACGTGTTCCCAGAGAGTCGAGCTCATTCGTGCCAATGAGTCGGAATTGCAGGTGGTCGTCGCCGCCGCTTGCACGCTTCCCGCCGACTCATTATTCGCTGTTCTTCTATATTTGGTCTATCCAGATTCATTCTTGCCTTCCACATTGTTTATTGCCAATTTCTCGCTCGTCCTGCTTGCATTGATCGGAATCAATTCAAGGATCTCGTCGATGATTTTGCCTGCATTGGTTTGGAAGGTACGTTTTGGGAAATGTCAACACGAAATTTATATTCTATTTCTTTATACATATAATTTTTGCTTCTTTGTTGTCGGCGTCAAAAGGACTTAAATGAGGCGGGAGGTTCAACTTTGCGAAATTAGTTTAGATTCCAATTTATCGTTGACTGAATATTAAATGCGCGTACGCTCTAATGCAACGTACGTAGTCTTGCGTACTTGTCACTGCACCGCGGCACATTGGCACATAGCCAATGTTTTTTTTTTTTAATTTCGTTCAGTCGTTTGACGCCAACAATATTGCTATTTTGTATGAATAATTTTTTTTAACTAAACTATTTTGACGATTCACTGAAAATGCAATTTTTAGTAGAAGTCGTCTACTATTTTTAGAGACTGCCTTTCTTTTTTGGCGAACAATTCAATAATTATTATTTAATTTCAGTGTATTCTTCTATTGTTTCTCTTGTTTCTTGGGTGTATCTCGGTCGACGCTTATCAACAAATACCAGTTGAGAACAATGAAACCAACAGATTGGTTAGTTTTCTTATTTTTAACAAATTGTTTGGCGATAGAAAAGGACCATTAACTCCACAGTCACCAAAACTGTGTATGGTATCGCCATTCAAGAAATTTGGGTTGTCGCTTTGAATTTAAAAAAAAATTATAACTGGAAATCGTAAAATTGTTCCAAATCCCATCGTAAATTTTTAGATATATTGTGGCCACATTGAGTGGATTTGTGATCTAGAATACTTTGAATGCGAAACCAACAAAATGTTGAAGGACTTTCTGAAATTTTAAGGGTTGCGTCTAGATATAAGCTGAATAAAAGCAAGACGATGGCGATAAAATTTGAGTCATGCTCTCCATGTAGACCAACACGGGTTCTCTTTTGTTATATTTTTGATCCTCTTTCGGAACCAACTATTACCCTAAAGCTGCTAATTATTTTAAGTACATCACACATGTGCCTTTGCTAATACACATTGCAAACTTGTGCTTTAGGAGATTCACAGTAGTCGGTCGATCGCAATATGGAAGGAATTGGCAATGAGATATCCGCTTTTGCCATTGATCGCTGTCATCTGCACAATCGTATTGGCTTTAGAAGCAAGGTATTGCTTCCATTTCAGATTTCCTTGAGAGTTCCTGATTTTGTTTTAGAATATTCTTCACCGCCTGGCAAAAGATTTGCTGTCCGTTGGTAAACAGCGAAGAAGATTTGGAGAAGGTAACCCCAATTCGCGTCTGCTTTTTAGACAAACGAATCATTTTAGGCGCCGCCATCGTATGTCTCTTGTGTTCGCGAGACAGCCAGCGAAAAGGATCTTCCGAGTTACGAAGACGCGCTGAGAAGAGTGGCAGCGACTAGCAGCTCGTCGACAATCATCTACACGCTACCGGACGCACAAACGGATCTCAAGAAGCATCCGCCGCAGAATCCCGTAATAGTTGTTTAGATTTACGAGATCATATCGACGACGTGTTCTGAAATCTGCCAATGTTTATTTTGTTTCACTAATTTCATCGAAAATGACGGGATGTATGCCTCATCGACATTATTTTTATTTCATGCGATATTTATATTTTCAAACAATTGATCTCAATTGACGATAATATGAATATTATTGACATTTTCATATTTTATTATTAAACATTTTGAATTTACCTTTGTTATTCGAATGGGCGTTTTGCACACAAACACTTGTCGAAAATTCTGTCTGCAATGATACTGAAGGAATAGCGAATATTGCTCTATCGGTGGGGGATGCTAATACGTGTGAGTTCACAATTGTCAGCAGTCTGATAGTCAGATCATAATTAAATAAATTGCAAAACTACATCACTTAAAAATTTTTGTATTAGGGGTATTTTCCGGATTTTCAGAATTATAATGCTTGGTTCCATGGGAGTTGCGCTGATTGTTTTAATTGATATTGTTATGAAAATGTTTTCTAAAAGCACATTAGCTGTGAAAAAAATTAAGTTTCTCTGATTGAATAAAATCAAGCATGTTCAACATCCGCGACCAATTGTCGACGTGGCATTTTCGGACCCAGATAAAAATAAAAGTAAAACCACTACAAACAACAAAAACTATGTGGCAAAAAACAAACAACTTATTTCATTTAGATTATCTTATGATTTCTGACCGAACGTGGTTTTATAAATGCGAAAAGTTGGCAAAATATCATTTTTCAGTTTTGACATTATCATTTGGTCAATTTTTCAGATATCAATCTGAAAAATGGCACACATATGTATGTAGTTTTAGGCCCTGAGAACTGTAATCGGCGGCGGAAAGTTTTCGAGCTATCCGTAGAACGCTGCCCGAAAACCCACAATCCCAGAATTAATCTTTTTTTGCTAATCACTGTCCACTTGAAGTCCACTAATAATTCTCTCACATTCTGACGATATTTATTTCAGAATAATAATATATAAATTAGAATCAGAAAAATCAAGTTATATTATTAGAAAATATCTCGTGAATTTTACTTTTTCGCAAAAAAGAGCGATTAACCTTCTCGCAATGCGCCGCGTAAATCGCGCGTCGTAAATCAACCCAGCGGAGCCTCCGCGCACACTCAACCCACTGCTACAGTAACGGCGCTGCGAAAAAAAAGACGGGCGTACCAAGTGAATCAGTTTTGCTTCTTTTTTTCTTCGTTTTTCGCACGTTTCACTTTATTTTTGGGCCCTTTCTCTTTCTTCTTTTTGCCATTTTTGTCGTTTTGCACTTCTTCAGCCCACAAATACGCTCAACACGCGAGCTTCGCCACACCAATAATTATCAAGGGGATTAATGCGATGAAACCTTTTATGATTAACACTGACAGCAAAAATCGGTCAAAAAGATGTGGAAGGTGGGCGCGGACCCAATTTGTAACACCTGACGATGAAGAGGTACAACACTTCAATGTCTACGAGACGGATCCAAATGAATAAAATATCATACGTATATTTTGGTGAAAATCATCGATATGAAACGGGTGGCGGAGGCAGTTGCGCTTTATGGCTCCAAGAATGAAGCGAACAGTTTCGGAAAAGTATCTCTATCTACAATGACGTCTCGCTTTCGATTTATGAAACCTGATGGTCATTTGAAGAAACTTCGACAGATCGAAAAAAATGGTAAAAATTTTGAAATACAACTTTAGCAATTTTCTCTTCACAGGGTCGTACATCGCAGATCGCCGATGTAATTTAAAAAAATATATTAAACAAGTTGGAAAAAGCTGTAAAAGAATACTTGAAGAAAGGCTTAGTAATGAATGATAAAACCCGGCGATATTTAATTGCTCAAATTATTCATGAACACCAGCTGGATATCACGTTTTTTCTTCAAAGGATTGGTTGAACTCTTGGAAGCGGTCACATAGAATTTCGTCCCGGAAAATAACCAAATCCGTCACGAAAATGCGCCATAGAGATCGAGAGGATTTGTCGAAAACGAGGCAAATATTTTTAACCGAAGCGAACCGTAAAATTTCGGATTGGTCTTTAACCCCGATCAAAGCGGATTTCAATTGGAAATGGCAACTGCTTGAACACTTGCCCAATCTGGAGCCAAGACAGTTGAGTGCGTTGTCAACACGGTTTCACCGACAACACACAAGAATACAGATTTGCCGGTGGTATCTGCAGATGCTTGTATTCGTCCGCTTCCGTTCGTCGTTCTCAAGAAAAATGGCGGTAAATTTCCGGCTAAATTTCGTTGCCCCAGCTTGATGGCTACTTGTGATGACAGTGAGAATTTTTCTCCAATTTGTGTTCCACAGTTCAATGTCACCAAACCCACTGTTTTTGTTGGACCAACTGGTCAGAAACGAATGGTGCAACCGATAGGAACAACTCGAACAACAAGTTGACCTTGAGGATTGCTGCTGATTGCATCGGTTTCGGAGTTTTGCGAATTTCAAAAAAATCGTTAAGACTGCGACAGAATGCGATCAAATGTGTCACGCAGAATATACAGCACAGTCCATAAATATACGAACCGAGTCAATTTTGGATATATCTCAGGTTTGGCATATCCAATTAGTACAAAACTTTCCGGGATTGTTAAGCATTCTCAAACCCCTCACGCCTTACAAGCATCGATATCATCACTGAACGTAAGAAACAATATGAAGTTGATGTCAGTTTTTTTGTTGAATTCTTCAATTTTGTACATATAATTACTGACAGAACTCCAATAATACTGTGAAACGTCGTCTGCGGACTGTTGGATTGTTTGGAAGACGTGTGGTAAAGTAGCATCTGATCTCAGAAAAAAACCAACTGGTGAGACTGAAGTGGGCGAAGGAGCATCGTAGCTGGACAGCTTAACAGTGGAATAAAGTGCCCTTGAGTGATGAATCTAAGTATTTAATGATTGGTTAATTTTTATTGTTTCTATTTAATTATTCATCTCCCTCGAATTTAATATTGTTTTTTTTTATACATTTTTATTTCATAAACTTAATTGTCCTAAAAATTAAAGTCTATTGTTTTCAAGTATTTGATTTGCGCAAGGTTTACAAAGAAGCTTTTAATTTCATCTTGATAACTTAAATTATTACAAGGAAAAAATCTGATTAGGCAAAAATTACTACTAAAAACTGCAAACTTCGATAATCAAATCTGCACATACATTATTCGTCAAACACTTTAAAGAGCCTTTCATAAGAGTACTCCACATAGTTTCTGAAAAATCAAAGTTAGACATCATTTCCGCGAATCGGTTCGTGATAACTTGAATAGTTGCAAGTTTAAACAATTTATGGTAAAAATTACTGTTAGAAATTGCAAATTTTGACTTTGGAATTTCAAATTTGCAGGTTTCCTGTAAATGTTCATCACTAATCTGATATAACCAAAGAAAACACTAGTAAAAGTTACGAGTTAATAATTTAATATTAAAAATCACTGATAAAAAGTTAGGACTAAACGAATACAAAACCACAAGTAACACTTCACGACCAAATTACGAGTATGCCAATGCGTCACGGTGCAGCGAAAAGTACGCAAGACTACATATACTCTAGTAACTCAAAACCAATCGGATCCGACAAAATTCGGCTCTAGAATTAACCTTATACGATTGGAAATTCTACGGATAAGATGGGAAAATTGTCGAATCCGATTCGTTTTTTGGGTAATTTCGAATACAATTATTAATTTGTCGGATCCGATTAGAATCCGAGTCGAATTGAAATATTAAAACAAAACGGATCGGATTCGACAATTTTCCAATCTTATCCGTAGAATTACCAATCGGATAAGGTTAATTCCGGAGCCGAATTTTGTCGAATCCAATAGATTTTGAGTTATCAGAGTATTGCATTATAGAAAATTGGGTGCATTAGAATTTCGGCCTTTTGTGTTATCCCGACTCCGCCCACCTCATTTCCTATCTTTAATAAATAAAGGCTCACTCCTTTTCGGCTTCAAGTATTCTTCATTTCATATCGATTATGAAAAAATCAGAAAAAAAAATGACGATGTTCACTGAATTATTCGCGGATTTCCAATTTTAAACATTTTTACTTTTCACAAAATTGCGATTCCATGGGTTGGCCAATTCGGCAATCTCTACAACGAACTGTCTCGACGCCACTCCACCGTGGGCGCCTAGACTTCACCAGGCATTTCCCTCCTGGGTCGGACCCTATGGGTCACCGATGCGGGGTGTTGGTCCGCGTCTCGTGGCCCGAGAAGCGCGGCACCCGTGCGGGCTCTCTCAAATCCGATTCAACGAATGTTCGCGAGACACGCTCACAGCGATCCGAAACACGCTCGTTGTAGAGAAAATCGAAATGATTAAAATAAATGATCAACTTTCTCTAAATTTAATTCGAAATTGGTGAATATAAAAAATATTTTTAATAAATTAGGCTGTCGCAAAAAAAAGCTATTTTGGTTACTGTAACAATAAATCTGTAATTTAAAAGACGACATAATTCGAACTCCGCAAACTACTGCATTCCGGTTCCACCGAAAAACTGAATAAAATTAGACTGAAGGGAAAAAAGATATTACCGTGGAACCTTGCATGACGAAAAATGAAAATGTGCAAAAATAGATAAATAAGGGCACGTGTGGTGTAAAAATGTTTGTGTTCCATTTCATTCGAATTTTTTCACAGTTATATTTATTTCTTTGAATCTCATCATCTGAAGAACGATATTCTGAAAAATCTTCCGAAATCTTTTAAATTTACTTCTTCGAAACACGCTCATCGCTTTTGATTGGTTGAAGACATCATTTCCTCTCTCAAAAATCACTTCCCTCCTATCATCATCGTACAATTCAACCCTGTCATGTTTTATATATAGGTATACCAGGGCTGTGCGGCAACGGAATTGCCGATTGCCGAAATTGCCGAATTTGCCGATTTCTCAAATTGCCGAATTGCCGAATTGCCGAAGAGAGCGTTCGATCGGCAATTTGCCGAATTGCCGGATTGCCGAAATTT